ATATATATATATATATAATATGTTATGATGCGCGATGTTAGAAAAATTCAGCTGATTGCCTGGAAAGACTCCTGTCTCCCAAAAGATAAGGGAGGGCTGGGCTTGCCTTCTCTTGATGCTCTATCCTTTAATTTCAGCTGCTCCTTGATTTGGAGATTTCTCACTACTAATTGCCCTCTGTTTAGCTGGTGGCGTTGGAAATACATCTCTCTTTGGTCTCTGATTCCTAAACTGTGTTCCCCTTTCTGGAAACACCTTAGCCTTATTGCCCAGCAACAAAAACACTGTCTGCAGCTTAGGATTACTCCGAACTGCAATTTCTCCCTGCTCTGGGACCATTGGTGCTTTGGGAAATCTATTATGGAGATTGTGGATCCTAATGCTGACTGTAGCTGGATGGTTTCTATTAATCAAGAATTCACTTCTGTTATTATGCGCAATGGCAGTTGGCAAGTGCCGGAAGATTGGCCCATTAATCTTAAAAGGTTGGTTGACTCTGTCCCTATATGGAATGATGTGGGTTGCTGTTTGTGGCGAAACACTGAAAATGTTTCTAACAAACTTTTTAGCAAAGAATTCTTTGCTCCTTTTCCGAATGTTAGTTGGCACCGTTTTGTGTGGCATAAGCACTCCTCTATCAGATTTTCCTCCTATGGTTGGTTGGCTATTAAGAATGGTTTAAAAACTGCGGACAATTTGCTTAAACGTGGAATCTTGGTGAACCCTTACTGCACCTTTTGTCAGGATTGTAGAGATTCTCATACTCATCTCTTCTTTGAGTGTGATTTTTCTTTTGGGATTCTGAATTTTCTGATTCCTCAGTCTCAAACGCTTCTTTTACGCCCTAACCTTTACCAGATTTTTGATTTCATTGAGGATATTTCTGATACTAAGGAGATGTTAAATTTCTTCTGTCTTCTGATAAACACTTCTATTTACTACATTTGGAGGGCTCGAAATGATAGGATCTTTGGTAACAACATCGAATGCATTACTACCGTGGGTAGAAAAATTAAAAAGGCTGTCGGTGCCAAGCTACAGAACTGGAAGAATGGGTTGAATCTCAAACATCTTCTGTGCTGATTTATTTTTTTCTCTGTTTTTCTGTTGCCTGGATTTATTTTTCTGGTACATTGGCTGTTGTGCTTGGTGAACTGGGTTGGTTTTGTTATGCTGCCAACTTTTTGTGCTGGAAGGACTTGTTGGGAGCTGTTACTCGATCTGGTGTTATCCTGGAGGGTCTAATGGCAACCAGGGTAATTGGTTTTATTTTCATTTCAGACAAATTTTGCAGGACAATGATGACCGCTGTAGCACTGCTCCTTGGATGGTCAATTCTGGCAACCAGGGGCGATTGATGATCTATTTTCTTTTACACGTCCCGTTCGTATTCCGCTACAGCCAATTTTCTGAGTCCTGATCAAATTTGTATACCACATTTTGATACCTTTTGGGTTGTTTTGGGTGGTATAGTCTTTTTACATTTATTTTTGTAATTTTTATTTTTTCCCCCGCTTTTGTTCTTAGGGTGGGATTTTTATTTCTTTTACTTGTAATTCCTTTTTTCAATCAATAGATGGGCCTCTGGCCCCAAAATTCCCCCCAAAAAAAAAGAAGTCGTGACCTTAATGTGAATGAGTCATATGTTATTCTGAATTGCTATCTTTCTCTTCTCGGTTCACTCGCCGTCGACATCAAGCCTGGCGGCATTACATCGCCGGCCTAATATTAACGCAACCATCCTTCTTCTAAAACATTCCAGCAAGCTCAACATGAGCCAGCTCCTCCAGCTCCAAACCCTGCTCATCACCGACCCGCCCCCTCCCTCTTTCCTCGACCCCAACCTCGCTGCCGTCAAGCTCATCTCCGCCACCGCCGCTCGTTCCAATCCTCGCCATGCCGCCCTTATCTTCTCCATCCTCCCTGACCCCAATCTCGTCGCATGGAACTCCCTTCTCAAAGCACTCGCTGACAACCACCTGTACTCCCTCACTCTCTCCCACTTCAACTCTCTCCTCCTCCTCCGCCCTCACCTCCTGCCCGACGAGTTCACGTTCACCTCCATACTCAAATCATGTGCCGCCCTCATATCAGTTGCAGCCGGCGAGGCCTCCCATGCCTTTATCATCAGCCACGGCGTCGGTTCCAATCTCTTCGTCGCCAATTCCCTCGTCGATATGTACTTCAAGTTCGGCCGCGTTGAGGACGCCCGCAAACTGTTTGATGAAATGAAAATAAAGGATGTGGTGTCATTGAACACCGTTATCAGCGGATGCTCCTCTTATGGCGACATTAAGGGTGCACGACAGTTGTTTGATGGAATGTCGGAAAGAAGTTTGGTCACTTGGTCTGCGATGATTGCAGGTCATGCCAAAGCGGGTGATACGGGAGCCGCACGAAATCTGTTCGATGAGATGCCGCAGAGAAATGTGGTATGCTGGAATGCAATGATTTCCGGCTACGCACAGAATGAAAAGTTCTCAGATTGCTTAAAACTTTTCCGCGCAATGCTGCTGCAGTCAAGCAGCGTTCAGCCAAATGCAGCCACGCTCGTGAGTGTGCTCTCAGCCTGCGCTCACTTGGGTGCTCTTGATCTAGGCAAATGGATCCATAGATACATCGATCGGAAATCCATAGAGCTCAGCCTGTTTCTAGGCAATGCGCTTGCTGACATGTACGCCAAGTGTGGCTGCATAGCAGAGGCTAGAAAAGTGTTCGACCGAATGCGTGAGAAGGATGTAATATCCTGGAGCATAATCATATCCGGTCTGGCTATGTTCGGCCATTCAGATGAAGCAACTTCTGCTTTCCATGAGATGTTGCAGCGAGGAATGGTGCCTAATGAGATCACCTTCATGGGCATACTATCAGCCTGTACCCATTCGGGCTTGGTTAATGCCGGGCTTGAATATTTCAGGCTGATGAAAGAGGAGTTCTTGATCTCTCCCAAGGTCGAGCATTATGGATGTATGGTGGATCTTTTAAGCCGAGCAGGTCGGCTCCAGGAAGCTGAGAGCATGATTGCTTCCATGGAAGTGCAGCCAAATGTTATAGTATGGGGAGCTCTACTCGGCGGCTGTAGAACCTATGGAGATATAGAGCGAGGAGAAGTGGTGGTTCGTCGAATCCTGGAGTTGGACTCAGAGCACTCAGGCAGCTACGTTTATTTAGCTACAGTGTATGCGTCCATGGGAAGACTGGAGGAGGCAGCAAAATGCAGGCTTAAGATGAGGAAACAGAAGGTGACTAAGACTCCAGGTTGCAGTTGGATAGAGGTGGATTACTCAGTGCACGAGTTCTTCATGGGCGATCGCTCACATCCTCAAACCAATGAGATCTACGCCATGATTGCTGAACTGAGGAAGAAGATGAGGCTGGCAGGGTACGTACCGAACATTAGTGTGGTTAGTCAGAGCATAGATGAAGAGGAAAAGGAGGACGCAGTTTCAATGCATAGTGAGAAGCTTGCTCTTGCATTTGGGCTCATTAATTTGAAGAAAGGGGAGATTATTAGGATTGTGAAGAATTTGAGAGTCTGCAATGATTGTCATGATGCCTTTAAGGTTATATCCAGGATAGAGGGAAGGAAAATTATTCTGAGAGATAGGAGCAGGTTTCATCAGTTCAAAGAAGGATTCTGCTCATGCAAAGACTACTGGTAGATTATATAGTATTTCATGGGCAGAGAAGGAAAGGCAGTAAGTAATTTTTAAGAAATTGTCTTCAGTTGTTCATGTTCTGCTAATTTATTCTCCAGCTTTTCAATACCTGGTATATAATACTTATATGATTTGTAATTTTTCTCATAATTGGCATACAAAAAATAAGGTATCCGAATGTCCACCTTAAACAATATTCACATATATGCAAATTATCCATTAAAATTGCAGCACTTACAAGTTAAAACCATAATATACTGTAAGTCTTTTTTCGGTGGAAGTGTTCCAACACAATAGAATAAAAACCAGAAGCTAAGAGAGATTTGACTATGCCAGCATCTAAAAAATAGGGAGAGGATGTGTAGTAGCAAAGGAAAGCATCTCTGATTATGATACCTCCACATGGCCTGAGGGCTTTCTATTATCAAATACTCTACAACCTGAATGTACTCTTCATAATCATGACCATTTGCCTTATGTATCCCAATTATTTAGGCATGCATTATGAAATCGCCACTGAATGTTGCATGAAGAATTTAAGCAATTCTTTGCCCTTAGATATATTCATTTCTCATTTCATCACAGAACATTCTCATTTCCACCGCTTAATTTGCTTATCAATGACTTCTTGACCACCCAATATTATATTGGTATAATAATAAGTCTTACTTATCCAATTTAATACAATCTAACACATTTCAAAACAGAAGGATTTTCATATGATTTTCATATATCTTTAAAAGACATTATAAAGTATTAAAAACATTAACAAATATCACATCAACTAATAGATTCTATAGCTAAACCATTGGCTATAACACTACTTATTAAAAAGTGAACCAGAGGAATTAAAGTTGAGCAAAAGAAATTAGTGGCAAGCCCATTTTCAACCAAAAATTTAAATCTACAAGAGTCAACCACTTCATATTTTACACCAACATATATTTCAACTATTTAATATAAAAGAACCAAAGCTTTTCACACATTTTAAGATTGAAATATATTATAACATAAAAATAGACTTAAATGAGTTGAACAACAACAACAACTACAACATCAAGCCTTTGTCCCACTTGGAGTCGGCTACATGAATTCTTTTTCGCCATTGTGTCCTATTAAAAGTCAATTTCTAATTTAAATTTAATAAAGAAAGATAATTTCTAATATTTTCTAACCAAGTCTTTTTAGGTCTACCTCTATCTTTATTACATAAGTCAAATCTAATACCTCAACTTTCCTAACCAGGTCATCGAAAGGCCTCAGTTTAATGTGACCAAACCATCTAAGGCGACTCTCTCTAATCTTATCTTCTACTAGAGCTACTCCAACCTTTTCATGTATAAAATGCATCAATGAATAACACAGAAGAATAAGCCTCAAGGTGACAGATATATAAAATTTTTAAATAAAGTAATCATCTTAAACCATAACCATGTTATCAATAACTATCTGCAATACCACTAAGCTTCCTCAAATCAAATGTTCTTCTATATATCCCTCTGCTAACATAGAGCAACTAGTAAGTGCTAAACAACCAAGCTAATGGATGGGAAGTCTACTTTCCTAAAGAGCAGACTAGATATGGAAAAGAACAATAAAAAAGCCATTTTGTGACAAAACTGATGAAATCGAACTTATGATAAGAACAATAAGCAAAAAAATTTACCATTGAAATGCCAAAATGGCACATCGCATTCCAAACCATACAAATCATAACGCACTAGAATTGCTTACATGGACACCCATCAAACAGTTTCATACATATAGGTCGTAGCCATCAAACTGGAAGTCAATATAACATGATTAAACCAAAAAAAAAAAAACTCATCTGCTTGTATGCCATAAATGAGGACTCAAAAGAAAACATGACAGAAAACAATGTGATAGCTAAAGCATCTTCAACAAGCAAATTTGATATTATGGCAAAAGCCACCATAAGATGAACTATAAACATTTCATTTCAGAGATCTGACTGCAACGAATATATCTTCAATGCAGAACCGACAATAGAAGACAGTCAGTTGGCACGACCTTTGATGACATCAAGATGTATCTCCGATGGATCGGTTGCTTGCAACTCCACCTGAATGCCATCCAGCTCCCTCTTGAAGCTTTCCTTCGTACTCGCATAAAGCATCTTATTCCTCACTTTCGATGTGTCGGGAGACCTTAATAACAATAGAGTAGAAGCCGGGCAATGAAAGACTTCATAAACAAGCATAGATAGATATATATGTCAGAATTAGGAGCAAAAACAAAAATATTACCATGCTATGAAAAATATCTTGCTTTTAGGGACGTTCTCCTCAGTAAAAAAATCAAAATCATAAACAGCGTATCTACATTCACTTGCAGAAAGGTTGGCAGTAAAATCCTCATAGTTGAGAGCAGGTTCACCAACTTTATCCACCACTACCTGCTTCAGTTTCTCATCAATCTTGTAAATTATGAAACGGTAGGTTCTCTTTGCCTTCAATTCAAGGAACTTCAACTTACAATCATCATTCACGGCCATCCCTGATGCTGAATTAGCCTGCAAGTTTTATGCAACATATAAAAAAAATAAATTTTTTTTTCCTGAAATAGTAATTCAACTTAACCCTAAAAAGATCAGACCAGATGATGAAATTTATAAAAAAATCAAAATCATAAACAGCGTATCTACATTCACTTGCAGAAAGGTTGGCAGTAAAATCCTCATAGTTGAGAGCAGGTTCACCAACTTTATCCACCACTACCTGCTTCAGTTTCTCATCAATCTTGTAAATTATGAAGCGGTAGGTTCTCTTTGCCTTCAATTCAAGGAACTTCAACTTACAATCATCATTCACGGCCATCCCTGATGCTGAGTTAGCCTGCAAGTTTTATGCAACATATAAAAAAAAAAAACTTTTTTTGTTGAAATAGAATAATTCAACTTAACCCTAAAAAGATCAGACCTTATGATGAAATTTATCATGGATTAATTCAGTCTAACCTCTTTATGTCGAAAAAGCAGACAAATATTGAGGAACATACAAAAGAATTCACGGAAAAAACAAACAGAAATTGGATCGCACGATGACCAAGCAGAACTAATAGTAAGAACGTAATAAAATACAGATAGTAGGATATGGATGTAAAGAGCAGGAACTTTCCTTCACAAACATGGACGGCATCTCTTGGCAAAATTGAAAAAAATAAAATCTACTAGCTATATTAACAAATTTACCTAAACCAAGCAATTCAAAGCGTTTTTATCAAAGATCCATTATTCATTCGCTAAATCACATAGAAAGATAAAGACTAAACTATGAAATAAACAGCAATCATCTAACAATTCAGGCCGAAGAAAGAAAAATCAAAAGATAACTCAAATAAAACCAGAAACATCCAGAACTAGACTTGAAGTCCAGATCTAAACCACAAACCTAAAATCCACGCAATAAGAACGCAAACTAAAGTAACAGTGCAGGAGTCACAAAATGAGAACACGGAAATTTTGCGCTGGATAAAAGATACAAGTGCTAAAACTTAAGATAAATGGTACTTCAAATAGTTATCGTATAATAGATTAAGAATACAAAGGCAAAATAGAGCATAGAGCTACGAATTCTGAAATATCGAGGGTGAAAACGAGATAAATACCATTTTTGCTGCTTGATCGGCGGAGAACAGAAGAGAGAATCTAGGGTTTCCGTCGCACCGAGAGGAAAGCGCTTTCCGGAATTGGTGAACCGAGGAGACTTTAGTGCGGGGGGTACAGAGAGAGAGAGCGAAAGAGAAGTGGCCTTGGCCCGCGTTGAGTGGGGGCCGCGGCGGTGGGTTTCCTGTATATTTTGCCGACCACTGTCGTGGATCCCACGTTGAGGGACGACTTGCAATTGGAAGCTGCCACGTGGTCTGGGTAGCTGTAGCCCAGGATTTGGTGGCATGGACCTGGGCGGGTCCCCGGCCCATCTTGTTCCAGCCCTAAAAAGGGTTTTGGGTTGGGCGGTGTGAGATCCCATTTCTCCGATCAAGGAATTTTTATTTGATCAGTTGACCTGATGTAGTTCTACGTTCGTATGCTAGTAAAATAGTGTCACGTGTTCTTATTCTTTACCGCGCGGCCCGACAATCCGACCCGGAACGGCCCCGAGATTGCTATGTTCGCGTATTGCTAGGTATTGATCGATTTTGCTCGGCAATAACGAGAAATACCATTATGTGAAGGCCAATATCGAGCAATACCGAGTTTGCTAGGTATTAGTCTTCACAGAGCGATATTTTTTATTATTGCTAAGCAATACCGAGCAATATCTATCAATACCGAGCAATATCTATCAATACCGAGCAATACCTAGCAATACATGAACATAGCAATCCCAGGTTCCGGTCCGGGTCAAGTCGTCGGGCCGCGCGGTAAATAATAAGAGCGGTAAAAATGCAGTCAGATCTCGAAAAACGTAGAACTACTTTCAATTTTTGACACGACACGAAACACGACCCGAACCCGACCCGGAAAAATCCGGGTTCGGGTCAACCCAAACCCGAAACGGGTCGGGTTCGGGTTCATGAAATCAACCCGTTTTAAAAATCGGGTCGGGTTCGGGTTGACCCGCCAACCCGAAATTGACCCGAAAGTGACCCGAAAACTCATTTTGACCCGAAAACCCGAGATTGACCCGATTTTTTACCCGAAAATTATCAATTTTGGGTCAATTCCGGGTCATTCGTGTCGGGTCGTGTTGACCCGGACCCGAATCGGGTCGGGTTCGGGTCCAGAAACCTGACCCGTTTTTAAAAACGGGTCGGGTTCGGGTTGACCCGAACAGTGCCGGGTCAGTTTCGGGTTCGACCTGAACCCGACCCGTTGACCCGAATTGACACCCCTACCTGACCTAATTGTTTCCGATCAAGGCATTTGGCTAATTTTAGTTATAAGTGGGCTGAATTAGATTTCTATTCAAAATTAGAGTGTACCTATCTATTACAATACATGCCCGATTAAAAGAAAAAAAAAAAGTTCTAATTTTAATAAACTTTAAAGTTATAGAACTTAAAAAATTCTTCAAATTTATCTTCTTGTGGCAAGAAATTCATAAACCCACAAATAATGATTCAATCTTTACCAGGAAGTGCTTGCTGAAATAAGCCCTCTGCCTATATCCTTGATCAATTCAAAGTTGTGTCGTTGTTCTTACAACTACAAAAAAAAATTCTTGTGCTTTAAATCTTATGCAATGGGTTCCATAATTATGTTGAATCATCTAGGGAACCTCAAGCTACGGCATGAAAATTGCACCTAGGCAAGGGAGTGTGGAAGTGTGGAACTAGACACTATTAAATAGTTGTGTTGCAGGCTGGAACATTTGTGGAGGTAGAGGGATAAGGAGTTTAACGTCTTAGCTTTGAACGAAGATCCACCGCACAGATAGATAAAAGAGAGGGATGCAAGATTTATAAGAGACACCAAAATTTTTACGTGGAAAATACTGAAAGGTGGAAAACCCATTGGGTTTGTCCTAATTAAAATGATTATACTAGTGTTTATTGTTAATTACAAATGAGGCCCTTCCTTAGAGGAAGGCATTAGCTTGATGTAGCAAATATATATCATATAGGGCACATTATATGGTGGGAGTTAGAAGAGTGATATAAGAGTTGCTCCTAAAAGAGTGTTGGCAAGTTCGTTCGGTCGGTAAGATCGTAATCGTGCGATGATGGTCAGAGGGACTGTAGTCGACTGGTGAAGGAGATTGGAGGGCCTGAATTAGGCTGGTAACAGTGTTTAGAGGGATCACAGTCGATGGCAACGGTGGTCGAAGGGATTGTAATTGACGGGCGTCAATGGTCGAAGGAATTGTAGTAGGTGGACGACGGTGGTTTGAGGGACCCTAGTCGGCGGGCAACAACGGTCGCAGGGACCGTTGTCGACTGGTGGCGGTGGTTAGAGAGATCATATTTGGATGTCAGAGGGACCGTAGTCGGCGGGCGACAGTGGTTAGAGTGGACCATAGTCGGCGGGCAATGGTAGGTTAGAGGGACCGAAGTCTGAAAAAGTCTACTGCGAGGAGGTCCGGCGATTAACTGCATATGGACAATTTTCGATAATTTTTTGTAATGTATCAATTTGTAATCTTTTGTGCAGCAAGCATGAGTACAAAATCTAAGAAATGAACAAAAGAAGTGAATTCCAAGTTAAGAAGTGGCAATCTAAGAATTTTGTAACTGAAATTCCTCCAAATGATTGTCTATAAAGATATTGAAAATTAAAATATTGTCAAAGTAAATAGCACAAAAAATGTTGAGAAAGGGTTTTATGTATCATGAGTCGTATAAATGTGCTCGGAGCATTGCATGACATATCGCCCCTCGTGCATTATGAATGCTATTTCTCATTCATTTTTAAATCATATTCAAGTTTGATAATAGCCACTTCTCAAGTCCACTTTCAAAAAGATGATTGCACCATTTTTCTTGTCCCACGAGTCTTCAACCCATGGCACGGAGCAACAGAATTTGACAATAATTTTATTAATAACTCAACTATCCACACAAATGCGAAAAGATGCATCTTTGTTTGGAACAAGTGGTGCTAGAATTACACAAGGGCTAAGGATATGCTTGAATTAGATTTTTTTTGTAGCATTTCTTCAACTATATCTATCTATTGTAATATATGTTGCTATTTAGGTCCCATTTTGTAATGAGGTAGATTGGGTAATAAAGTTCCTAGGTTAAGATATATTTTATGGTAAACACTTTGTAATGGAGAGGTCACAAACAATAATTCATCAGAAAATATATCCACGTATTGTTTTAGAAAAACCTTGGCTTGCATTGTAATTTTAAAAGTTGGGTTGTCATATTTGATGAACACCAAGGCAAATAATGCTACTAGGAGGCGAGACTATATGACTTGTGTAAGAGTAGCTACTTCCCTACTATTAACAACCTTGGGCAAGGTTGGAGATGGCATTAAATGGAGGTTTCATCCCTTCCAATCAAAAGAGTAGGCATTTGATCTACTATCGTATAATGCTCCTCCATAAAAAATCTCATGGTCGACTCATTGAAAATGTTACTCGACGCATTTCATAAACTATAGAATATATCCATGCTTTCATACCCAACTGATTTTGTAAGGATTTAATTTATGGTGTATGCAAATTTAATGTCTTGATAATAGTACTAAGCATCACATTTTCCGCATATCTATTATAGATTAACATATCATAAATCTTTCCTTTAATGGTGTAAAACCTTCTAAGAATGGCATGACATTGGGTTGCAATTCGTTGACGACGAGCTAGCAAAACTTAATTCACGATACAGGTTAGGACGTCCCCTTCATCACCTTGTAGTTCTTCAATTTTGTCCCCTTAATCTAATAACTCGCCCTCATATTTTTGCCACATCTATCCTTTGATGAATTGCACCTTTTTTTAGATTCAAAATTTATTAGATTTATGCGTGGATTGAAAACAACAAAAGCACCTCAAGGTGTTGTGCTTAGCATAAGGATTATTTGTGTCATAGGAGACCGGTCTTGTGATTGGCTTTGTGGTCTACAATTCACTTTTATGCAGTGCTCATCGCTTTGCTAGCATATGTGGATGGTAGGGAGCCCCCTTTGGTATTATATAAGGAAGACTTTGAGTTGATGCCAGGTTCCATGTAGGAATGATAGGAATAGCTTCAATGAGAACTTCTAATCAGTTGTTTTTTATCCATATACAAGAAAATTGACTACCTAAGATAACAACCAAATGGACTATGTCTTCAATTTTCCTTGAATGCCTTGCCTCATACCTTCAATATAACTTGCCACAAATTGATTTCTAGTTTCATTCAAATTATTTGTTGCACTTAATCTATAGAATTCCTCCAAGTACTCATTAATGATGCATGACCACCATGAATAGAGCCGATACTGTATGTAAAGCCTTTGTTCGAAACTTGCAGGAAGGAAATGTCTTTGTAATAATTAATTCATCCAGCGCCAATATTGAACATGCCCATTCCCTTCTTGCCGCTTGGACTGCAGAATCTGATTCCACCAAATGCTAACACCACCTTTAAAATATATAAAACTTATTTTTCCTGACTACTTTCCATGTAATTAAAGAATTTCTTTAGTAGTCTGCCTAAGTACAAGTAATCCTTTGTATATAAACAGCCATCAAAGAAGGATATATTGATTTTCACCCTGATACCATAATAGTAATGATTATAGCCTTCTTCGTTCTACCAACAATGTAGAATATGGGAGTCTCCATCAATACAACAACAACAACATCAAACATTTATCCCGCTATGTGGGGTTGGCTACATGAACATTTTTTCTCCATTGTATCCTTTTAAGAGTCAAATTCCCATTTAAACCTAATAAATAAAGGTTATTTCTAATATTTTATAACCAAGTCTTTTTAGGTATACCTCTACCTTTCTTAACATATGTCAAATCTAATATATCTACTCTTCTAACCTTGTCATCGGAAGACCACCATTTTATGTGACCAAACCATCTAAGGCAGCTATCTATAATCTTATCTTACAGTGGAGCTACTCCAACCTTTTCAAGTATATGCTCATTTTGTGTATCATGTCTCTAAAAGTAAATCCACTCATCCACCTGAGCATCTTCATATATGCAACACTTAATTTAATATTATGCTTCGCTTTTAATGGCCAACATTTTGCACCATAAAGCTTGCAAGTCTTGCCATCATCCTATAGAATTTTCCTTTAAGTTTGAGGAGAACTTTTCTATCACACAACAAGCCCATTGCATTCCTCCACTTTAACTATCCAACTTGATTTCTACTAATAATATCCCCATATATCTAAAATGTGTACTCTTATTAATAACTTGTTTGCCCAAAATCACAATACCCTCACTAGATCTATTAATACTAAAATTATACTCCATGTATTTGGTTTTAGATATACTCAAACAAAAACCTTTAGACTTTAAATTTGACCTCCATAATTCAAGTTTACCTTCTCCCTCTCTAGTCTTATAAATAAAAAGATTGTCGATTTTGATATTTTTCTTCATCAGTCTGAGAGCTTTGCCTTAGCCAATGTTTTGTGCCATCAAGATCACTAGAGGATACAAGGCATGATAGAAGTTTCACTTAGATTCAATATGGTTATCAGATGCATAACTCATCTTATCTTGAGATTTTTGAATTCTTGTTGTATCTCAACTGCGACCAAAAGAACTAAATGTTAAGCTCATCCAACTGTTGACAAAAACTTGACTGAGCAGCCAAAAAGCTAAGCTTGGAATTTTGTCAATATTTGGGTGTCTACTGTATTTTGCCATTATATATAAGGCAAGATAAATCTACTGTAGAATGTGAAGGAAGTTTTGTTAGGCAGGGGTGGTGTGTCGTGACTGCATCCGAAAGTTAAATATATAAAATTTAAAACGTACACTATTGGATTCAAATTTATTTGTGGATGACTCCCGATCTTACTAACAGGTGACCTATAAGTGTAAGCTAGAATATTGTGAAATTTTTGTATGAGGAATAAGAGAAAGAGTCTGAAGATCCCTACAAGTCTAACAACATGTAACATGAAAAACAAAAGATCCAAAAAATGCTTTGGTCATGCATTTATAAGGCTTAGAGTGCTACAAGAAAGGCTACTCTTAAAAAAAATAGAAAGTACAAGATATGATATAACTATTGTAGACTGTTATGGACACATGGTGTTACGACTAGTTCCGATACAAATTCCTATACTGAGGTAGGTCATATTGTCTTGACTCCACAATAGTTGATTTATTTTCAAGCTATATTTAAACATATTTTTTTTTCATTCTATGTTGAGTACAATATGCTTATGTAGTTTAATTTAAATTACTTCTACAAATAGATTATTGTGAGGAAGTTAAATTTCTTAAAAATTATTATGAGTTATCTATTTATTTTTTTTTCCAAATAAAATTATGAAAAAGTTAGTTGATGATTTTATGAAACTATGAAAACCGTTTTAATAAACTTTGTTCTTAATAAAATTATTTCAAAATTATGCAGCTAGTTTTATCATATTAATATCTAAAATTTTGAATTTTTTTTCTACTTTTTAATCAAAATCACAGTCCCTTTAATAAATTGTGACATATTATTTATTTATTTATTTATTTTGTTTTACCAACTAAAATGAATTGTAGCAGTAAACTATATAATTGTAGTTCATCGACTGACTCTAGGTTTCACCGCTTCGGAGTTGGGTTCTGTACTTTGTGGTTGCACTCCCTCTGGAAGTCCAAGGCAGCCTCTGCTGAATTTTGCTTTGGAAAGAGATTCTGACCACTCTCCTGCTTATTATTTCGATCTGGAAATCGTTTCTTCGATTGCTCCTGCAATGGCTCTGGCACTGAACCATCCCATCTCTGTCGGCGTTAAAGAAAAAGTGAGTTGTAAGTTGACGCATTTTCTTCCAACCAGGGCATTTAATGTTCTCTTTTTCTTTGCCTTCATATTATTTTCTGCAGTTTCGGAGTTGTGATGGACCTTACCAGCGGGGGAAAAGGGTTTCAACCATCGTTTGCGTGGATGTGGGAACTGCTTCCATATGCATTCCCGCCGCTCCGATAGTTATTCCGGAAGGACCCTGGAAGCAGGTAATTTTTTTCCTTAAGCTAATTGTTTTGGTTTGATTTCATTTCGTGAAAGTTGGTTCTTTTACTCGTATCAATTCCGTTGTTCTTAGTTGGAGATTAAATATAGATGCTGACGGTCTGTAAATCCGTCGTTGTAAATATATTCATGAACCGTGAATCATAGAACGCATGCATGAGTAGTACTCATTATTGACTGCAAAAAACCCACATACAGGACTGAAGAATCGTGCACAACATTTTCGGCAATCTATGGTCAATGTTGGAAGAAGATGGGACTGATAATTCTTGCTGTTCCGAGATTAAAGCTTGCTTAAAGCAGGGAAAGTTGAAGTAGACCCTTCAGCATTTTGAATCATCAAACTGGGCTTATTAGGGATTTTCCTTGCCAGACAATATTTGAATGGAGAAAATGGATGTCTTTAGGATTAGGGCTGTTACATATGAGATCTCAATTCTCTTCTTCGATTGAAAATTCCCTCAGAATCATTCGACCCAATCTCGAGCTGAGCCAAGTTTAATTACAAATTTACTTGATCCAACCTTGATTCGAGCCAAGTATGGCTTGTTAATTTCGATCTGAGTTTTGTTTGAGCCAAAAAACCAAACCAAACTCTATTGATTTTGATATCATAAGATAAGTTCTTTAATCAAGCCAAACCAAACCATATTCTATTGTTAGTTTTCTCATTGAATTTGATCCGAGCTAAAAGTTAATTCAATTTTTGAGTGATAATCGATCTTCAAGAGAAATTCACATTTCTATTTATGATGACCTTGAACGATTAATGAAAGAAATATGACTGATGGTTTTTTGCTAATACATTTATTAATGTCCACCATTAAAGATCATTTTATGCCATACCAAAACATGTGATTCTCAGAGTAAAGTTGAGTTGGATTCAATATTTTGTTATTGGGAGAATTCATGTTCTTGTGTGCGTGGGGAGTCAATATAAAACTTAATATTTGCAAGTAAAAGATCTACCCTTGGATAAAGAAGGCACGCGTTAAAACAAATTGCCATAAAAAAGTCTGATCATGCCAGGCATGAGTATACTATTCATAGGATGAAGAAGGGCTCAGCATTCTTAAGTTGTGCATCCATTACAAGCCAGGTTCACTGCTCTGTCTTCTAGCATTTTAATGTTATCTGAATCTACTGGGTATTTGGAATTTCTGAAGAATAATGCAGAAATGTCGTGTTGGCATTCAGAAGATTTTTGGAAAGAAAGATACAAAATCTTCAGATTCAAGCATGCACTGATTTTATAGCAACCTATGATGGATGGTTGGATCTATGAGTTTTGAGATCTTTTTAAAAAGTGATTAAAGCTGTTGAGCAAATTAAAAGAGTAGGATAATGTTTTGAGTTTCAAAAGAAGATTCTAAATTTTGTGTGAAGCTTATCAGGGAAAGATTTGGCTATTTTGGCATGCTTTGGTTCTACTACCAGTACTGCAACGCATGCACTTCTTCGAATAATAAATCCGCCAACCTGCATTGCATCTAATTTTACTCATGGACAGTACTGAATGTTTTGAATTTCTTTTACTTGATTTATGTCATAGATACCAGGTGGTGTTACTGCTGCAAAAGGATTCAAAGCTGCAGGACTGTATGGCGGTTTACGTGCAAAAGGAGAAAAGCCTGATTTGGCTCTAGTAACATGTGATGTTGATGCCATTGTAGCAGGTGACAACGCCCCCTTTTGATGCTGTGATTACTTACAACCCACATAATATAATTTCTTAGAATGGGGTTTAGTGCATTTTGCATAGACATATCTGGAGGTCTTGGAGAAATGTTTGAGTTTCCTCTAGTGCAATATAGAGGCTTTAGATTTGAATCACGGGAACAACAAATTTAGGGAAGGCTGCTTACTATGTATACACCCTTTTATATCTATATGAGTTATGACCTCTTCTAGGAGCTGTTTATGCCTCATTGCATGTGCTTTAGTTTATGCCTTATCATCATTAGCCTTATTGATGTGGAGCTTTCTCAGGCGGTGTATTTTGGTACAGGCCTTGCAGCTTATTTTGATGCAATCCTTAAATTTTTTTTCATGATGGTTTCCCATGTTTGGCAGTGCGGTTCTATGATGGGTTCTTCTGTTTCTACTCCCTCCTCGTTATTTCTTTATTATATGATCGGTAACCAATCTCTTAACATTATGCACAAGTTATAGAAAATGTTATATGCATTTATTTCTTGTGCCCCTAATGACTGAGGAATTGATTTGAATGTACCTTGTTGCTGTCTACTTGTTGATGACTATTGTATGTATTTTATCCTCTTCATCACCTTGAAGGACAATACAGCTTATGATGTGAAACCAACAAGAATTGTAAGGAACTAATAAAAGTATTGTGAAGATTGCTACTTTAAGGCTAATGAGCCATAAGACATGATTATAAGAATTCTCAATTATTAATTTTGTTTTGGTATGTAGTTACAAAACTTAGGATATTAGAACAAGTTAATACAATTCAGAAAATATCACAATAACACTAGATATGCCGTAATAAAATCCAAAGCTTAATATTTAGAAATTTCACCTAGAGTTACCGTTCTCACTCACACTCAATATAAAGCTTTAACGGAGAGAGGATTTCAGCACACCAAACGATGCCCTAAGATGGTAGCAACAGCAATGGCTTTGATCCAAGAGAATGTAGTCGGCGGTGGAGGAGTGGATTGTCCTATGAGTTGCCAAGATCCGGTGGGAATGTGTTCTTCAATGGAAGGCACGAACGTGAAGATGATGCTTTCGATATAGCCTTCAATAGTCTCGTCGACGATTAAATTCACATAAAAAAACAGAGATCCGTTCTTCCTTGATCATCGTAGATGAAAACCATGGTCGATTTCGGGATCGGCCATCCATGGATGTGGGAGGCTCCTCTCTTGAACTCCTTGGGGGCGGCGGGTTTGTGAAGCAAGAAGGGAAGGAGAGGGGAGGGCCGGCTGTATACTAGGGTTTGGGTATGAGAGAGGCGGCTAGGGTAGAAATTGGTGAGGGATTTAATTGCAAAATCTGAAAGTAAATTCAGATTTTAATTAATATAGGGTTAGGTGAATTTCAAATTTGAAAATAAAGGAGGTTGGGAGGGAATTAGGGGATGCAGGCAGGAGGTGTGGGGGAGAAAGGGGAGGGGCCGGAGGAGAAGAGATGAGCAAATAGTGGAGCCGCGAGCCTCAAACCCTTCCAAAGGCTGACAGATATTGCAATCGCCCTCACCTAGGGCCATCTTTCTTCTCTCAAACACTCAACATTGAGGGAGACAAACAAAACTCAGAATTTTATTCAATCATCATCCCAATACATAAGAAGAGGCCATATATATAAGCCTCAATATGACAAAATAAAATAGACTAGAATGTCCATTGGGCTACAATAACAAACTAACTACCCATAGGGGTAAAATCGGAAAAAACTGAAATATAAAAATAAATAATACCTAAAGTGCATCAAAAGTAAAGGCTCTCCATCATGGCCATCGATCTTCGATGTTTCCTCTGATAAACGCGTCGGAATCTCTTGTCGATGTCCTCATCAGCTTGCTATTTTTGTGTTGCCACATATAGGAAAACCAACAAAGCAGGTTTGTTGTTTGGAAAATCAGATTACTGAAATCAACAATTCAGAGGTTTTTTATTTTCTCTGTTTGCACATGACAAAAACAAGAAAATAACTCGATCATGCTTTAGAATACTTGTCCTCTCAAGTTTTGCCTTGCAATTGCTGTAGAAGATAATTAGGACTTATCGACTGCTGAACAACAAGTCGTCCTTGTTGTTTTTTAGGTTGTGTTGCTGAAGTCATCAAATAAGATTATTTTTTCGCTGATAGTCAATTTGGTAGTATTCAATGGAAAAAAAGGATTCATGTAGCTGACCCCACGTAGTAGGATAAAGGCTTGATGTTGTTGCTGTATTCAATTTAATAGTAACAAATGGTTCTTTTGGCACTGTGCTATTCTACCCAACTCTGTGCTACAATGCCCAATTCTGTGTTACAATACTCAAGATTGTGACATGTTGCTAAAATGACAGTCAATAACAAGGACAATAAAAAGAGAAAAATAAACTTTTTTAGATTTTGCGTTGCAATTACTGTAGGCAATAATTAGGACTTATCATCTGCTGAACAAGTTGGCCTTGTTGTTTTCTGAGGTTTTGTGTTGCTGAAGTTATCAAAATCAGATTATTATTTCAATGACATTCAATTTTAGTAGCAACAATTGGTTCTTTTGACCCTGTGCTTTAGTACCCTACTTTGTTCTACAATGCCCAATTCTGTGCTACAATATTCAGGGTTGTGATATTTTGCTAAAATGACAGTCAATGACTAGAAACTTGTCATCCAGTTCTCTACGGCTATATATGAACTAAGGTCGTTCAACCATTCCTAGCAGCAGGGTCTCTTGAAAAAAATAATCACAAAACGAGGGAATGAGCTAACGCTCAACAAAATGACAATTACATCTAAAATTCATGTGTAATGTAGAGGAAAACAATATGCAAAGTATCATATGCTTAACATGATGTCTATTGTATCATATGCTTAACATGATGCTATACTAAATGTCAGTTGCTTAACATGATGTTATACTAAATGTCAGTTGCTTAACATGATGCTTATTAACTCATATGTTCATATACTTACCCTATGCATATATTATACATCCGTACCAGAGTACCCATATTGTACCGATAAGATACAATCTCATATTTGGTCATTCATCATCATTTTGCCCCGAAGAGCCGTGTTGCTCCAAAGAGCCGTATTGTGCAAGTGCACTATATTTGGTACTCCGCCTCAACATACACAAACTTGCATTTTTTAATCTAATATCATAAGATGATAAATATGATGACTTTTATTTAAGCATGGAAAGGAAATGAAAAGGAACTTAAACCTATGAAGAGCTTTCTACTTAGCATGCAAAGTACTTTGTACAAAAACTTTCTATTTAACATATCAAGAATAATGTGATATATAACAATGTAACATGAAAAACATGAATATAAAGTGACATAATGCAATGTAAACTTAAAAAAAAAAAAACATGAACCTTAGAATGTAATGTCACTTACCTCGATATGCAATCGTTTATACTTGTGACGAATCTTCTTAAACCAACACCTCTCCTATAAGTAACACCTAGGAGAAAAAAAACACCTTGATTACTAACTTATATCATACATTTCCTATTACTCTAACTAATCATAACACATTTCCTATTACTCTAATCCTATTACTCAAACTAATCGTAACATAATACATTTCTATTGAAGTAATATTTTCATATTAATTTATTATTTTCGGATTTAATGAAAATCCATATGTTAAGAACCCACATTTTTCATCTTTTCTTATAATTACAATTTAAATCACTTTCTCTAACATATATAATTATTAAAATTAATTATTTTTGGATTAAGATAATGTAGAAATTAGGAAAAAAAATTTTCTTTTTCAAATTCTCATTGTGCGAAATTAGGGGTATGTTCTTTATACCATGAGGGGTAAAATATTATAATCGTAGAAATTCTAATTGTGCGAAATTAGGCTCATGAGGGGTAATTTGGCCAAAAGGCTAAAAATTTACTTAAACGAACTTCAACGATTTTTAGTTTTCAAATTGTGCGAAATTAGGTATATGTTCTTTATACCATTTCGATCGAAATTTAGCGTAGAATTTTATAAAAATTATTGCGTCGAATTCCAACCACTTTAAAATTTCGCCTAATTTTACCGCGGTGCATCGAAATGCGTGTGACACATTCGATCGAAAGTTTTCGGGTTTTACATTTTGCTCCTTTACGCTTCAGTTCTTACTATTATATAGTATTTTATATATGGTCAACAACTTATTTATTGATTTTTGGTGGGTTTATACTTATAAATAGAAGGGCTTGTGACATTTAAAAGACATCATATTTGCAATTTTATTTAATTTCTAATTTAGTTCCCATTTTGAGTATTGGTTGGATATGATTCTTTCTAGCATAGTGCAATTGGAGATTGCAAATTTTTGAGAGAAATTATCCTGGATTGTCACTTAGTGTAGCTCTGTTTCGATTCTCTAATTTAGTGACCATTTTATTTTCACGATTAATTATTATCAAATATGATGCAATATAATGCTCTTCAATTTGGTCTAAGTTTTCAATTGAATATGTGATTTTTTTTATAATCCTAAATATTATGCAAGATTATATTAGATAACTATCAAATTATCATTTGCCGAAATTTTTATTTAAATTTGATTTTTTTTAAGGTGAATAATTGTCTAAATTAGAAGTTTCTGACTTTGAATTTGAACCTACGTGTAGTCATATGATGTGATGAACTATTCGTGGTTGGGGGGTCTTGAAATTTCTTGATTCTAAAATTGTTTATTAATATGAATCCTTTGTTACTTTAAAGATCAAAACACTTTAAAAATTAGAAATAAGGTGGTGAATATTTTGCTTCCATTTTCTCAGGGGTATTCACTAAGAACATTGTTGCTGCTGCACCAGTTATCTACTGCAGAAATGTACTAAAAAATTCAAATACGGTATGAAAATCCCATCTATATTTGGCTTTTTGCCATACATGATTATCAGTGCTGAGCACCCCCCAGAATCAAAATTAAAATGCTTTAAATTTTGCAGGCACGAGCAATATTGATTAATGCTGGTCAAGCGAATGCTGCAACCGTAAGCTTATTTTTTTATTTAGTTTGATATGAAAATCTATGTAAAGATCACATTGGCCGTGATGATGGTTGTCAGGTATTTCTAACATATTTAAATGATTATACAGGGCAATCCAGGTTATCAGGATGCAGTAGAATGTGCACATTCAGTTGCCCAGGTTTCTGGTTTCAGATTAATTATTTTGGCTAATTTTCTCACCGCAATTGCAATCCTTAAAATTTTTATTTGCCATGCAGTTTCTTCAGGTGAGACAAGAAGATGTAATGATCCAATCAACTGGTGTTATTGGTCAAAGAATTAAAAAGGTATACATGATTGCACTTATGTGTATGTTATATATATTTTGAATTGTCCATGGGTGATATTTTGACCTTCTTATTAAGGCTAGGTAAGGCAACATATAAAGAAAGGAAGAGATAGGTGGGCAATAAGAAAATCTATTTGTGCTCAATATCATAAAGTTTAGTGGCCTAAAAAAAAGCACAAAATACCTCCCAACCCTTTATTTATAGGGTTGGGAAGGCTAGAGAGTGGCTACACCTAAAAAAAGTAATAAAATAGTATAATATTTGATTGTTACAGACACATGGACTAACTCGGATGAATATACATACTCTGCCATATCTGACTTGGCTCGGATCTAGGTGAGTGCTTCCGACGAGTGCCTTTGACAAGTGCCTCCTAGGTTAAGGCATTAACTAAGCGGGCATGGTTGTTACAACTGAGTTTGGATAGAATCACTTATTGTCATATTATCCTCCATCATTCATTACAAAATTTGACTAATTGAGATTTAAATTAGCTAAAAGTCATTGATAATGCAGAAAGTAGTTAAAAAATGTCTTTAGCTTGTTTAAAACTCTTAATTAGTTAATTTTTTTATGCTGGATGAAAGTTATGGATATAAAATGAAATTTATTATTTTAAAAAGATAGCATTCTCTCCCCCCTCCTCAATCTCTCTCTCTCTCTCTCTCTCTCTCTCTATATATATATATATATATATATATATATATGTATGTATGTATGTATATAGGAAAAATGGAGTCTATTCTTCTAAACGGATAATAGTCCAAGGGTAGTGCTGTTTTTTTTTTCCACTTCTTTCAGTTCTTTGTTTTCCAAATTAATGCTATAATTTTATTTGGCTACTACTTTTTTTGTTGCTTTTTAAATTTTTTTTGGTGAAAAGTTACTTTTTACAACCATGTTTGCTAGAGTGGGGTTGCTATAAGAAAACGGCTGCTTGATTTTCTTACAAGATGAAATATTTCTGAGACCCACAACACTTTTCAGAAAGTTGCTTTCCTCGTGATAGTCTTACAACCACTTTTATAGAAATCATAGCCGCCCCAAATGGACCATAACACTTCTCTTTCTCAATTTGTATTGTTAACTTTGTATGCATACAATACAAAGAGACAATGTGCAGATTATTTTAAGAATTTGAATGAGAATTGTGAATTAAAATTACACCTCATTTACATTATTTTCAGCTTGAACTTGTATTTCCTGGTTAAATAGGTATTGATTATCTATGTGCAGGAAGCTCTTTTAAATTCACTTCCCAGACTGGTTAATTCCCTATCATCAACAGTTGAAGGGTATTATTCCCATACTTTTTTTTTCTATTACTATTTGATAGGATAGTCTTAATCATTACTTTTGTGCATGTTCTTAACATCTTACTTTTCTTTTAACTATTTTTAAATGCATGTCTCCTTTAGGCTTAGTCATAATTCAAAATTTAAAAATTTTTATGTAAATAATTATACACGTTTGCTTGTGTTAAAAGATAGAAAATAGTTGGTTAGCATGTTACTCATAAGTTATATACCATAACTTGATCTGGTTGTGGTGGAAAAGGTAAGCAATGGTTGGCTAGCTTTAAAATAAAATTATATTTACTTCATGGAATTTGGGGGATTTGAATGGGTAGATAAAATAATTGATAGACACAATGATTAGTAGAAGAATAAATATTGCTTGTTTATAGTCATTAAATGAAGAATGAAAAAAAAAATCTAAGAATATTGGCTTAGGTTATAAGTTTTTGTATGTTGGAAATATTGTTGACATTTATGGGGTTGAAAATATTTAAAAACAAGATTAGGGTTGTGACAGTTTTGGATAAATTGCTGAAAGATATTATTGTTGAGGTGTATTGGGTTAGTGATAAGGTGACATCAAATTATATTAGGGGATAGTTTAAAAAAATAATTTCAGAAAGAAATATGTGAACTATTACAATATACACCTGAGGGAAAATGATATTTATTGGGTGTGCTTGGGCAATGAGTTCTAGTAGAATATGCTTGAGAGTGGTCATAGTGGGCATTGAATGCCAGATAGAGATGGAATGGTAGAAGTTATACTTTATTTTACAATAGACAAGTATCTTGTCATAATGAATGCATACTTCAAGGAATAAAAATAGCACTTCAATTCTTTTAAAATTGGACCCAGCAAATCATGAATATCTTTATTTTTACTTTCAAGAGTAAATAGAAAAAAAAATGTTTTTTTTCTAAAAAATTATAAGGTGATTTCAAAAGAAAGTTTAGCCGTCCAACCTAGTTTAGTAGCTATGAATGTATGTGAGTATAAAAAAATCAAAATAATAAGTGTTCTAGGATATAAGGTGAATGATGCTAATTTCTCAAGACAAGTTGTGAAGAAAGGCACGTTAGAATTCTTATTTGAGTCAAATCTAATATAAGATGATTAGTTCCATTAAGAATCTTACCATAGAAGCTTTAAGAGAGTTCAACAATTTATCATTAGCAAGTAGGTTTGTTAGTTTAGTGAGGAGGTACACAAGCTTATCAAGGAAATGAAATATGTTTTTAAAGAGCTAAAAATATTAAGGCTTGCAATGACTAAATAATTGTTATAGGTCTTGCAAATAGGATTGTACAACAACAACAACAACATTAAGCCTTTATCCCACTACGTGGGGTCGGTTACATGAATCTTTTTTCTCCATTGTGTCCTATTAAAAGTCAAATTCTCATTTAAATCTAATAAAGAAAGGTCATTCCTAATATTTTCTAACCAAGTCTTTTTAGGTCTGCCTCTACCTTTCTTAACATAAGTCAAATCTAATACATCTACTCTCCTAACCGGGTTATCGGAAGGCCGCCGTTTTATGTGACCAATCCATCTAAGGCGACTCTCTCTAATCTTATCTTCTACTGGAGCTACTTCAACCTTTTCACGTATATGCTCATTTTGTATCCTATCTCTAAGGGTAAAACCACTCATCCACCTGAGCATCCTCATCTCTGCCACACTTAACTTAGTATTATGCTTCTCTTTTAATGGCCAACATTCAGCACCATAAAGCATTGCAGGCCTCACCACCGTCTTATAGAATTTTCCCTTAAGTTTGAGGGGTACTTTTCTATCACACAACAAGCCAGATGCATTCCTCTACTTCAACCATCCAACTTGAATTATGCTGATAATATCCCCATCTATTTCACCATCACTCTGAACAATAGATCCAAGATATCTAAAATGTGTACTCTTATTAATGACTTGATTGCCCAAAGTCACAATCTCCTTACTAGGTCTATTACTACTAAAATTACACTCCATATATTCCGTTTTTGATCTACTCAAGCGAAAACCTTTAGACTCTAAGGTTGACCTCCATAATTCAAGTTTACCTTCAATTCCCTCTCTAGTCTTATCAATAAGAAGAATATCATCAGCAAAAAGCATACACCAAGGACATCCTCTTGCAAATGTTTAGTGAGAGCATCCCTGACTATATGATTGTGAGCAAAGAAATAACTATGGTTTTTGATGATTTATATAATAAGCTTAATACCACGGAGGAAGAAATTGAGATACATAAAATAGTTAAGGTATAAGAGATCTAGACTTTGATCAAGTTAAATGCATCAAAAGTGAATACAATAAGATCTTGTTTAAAAATGAAAAAAGTTGTAAATGCAACTTTGAAAATGTTTAATTGAGAGTCTTAACAGATGTTATTCTTGTAGAATATAATGAGCAAAATAATAATATATATTACATGTTGATTTTAAAAAGTTGAATGTAGTTAACTTCAAAGAAGATGCATAAAGGTAAAGCCTTAGGTCCAGGACATACTTATTGAATTTTGAGAGTTATGGTGACGTTATAGTGGTTTAGTCTAACAAATTTTTTCATTGAAAATTCGAATGCCAAAATAGTGCCAAAATTTGGTACCAATATTTAAGGATAAATGAGATATTGATGGTTTTGCTAATTATAAATGAATCAAATTTGTTTTATGCCAAGAAGATTTATTATGGAAGCAACTTTTGTGTCATTAAAATTAATAGGAAGTGATCTTCATATATTTTTAATTGATTTTGAGGCAGAATATGATCGAGTACCTTGATAATTGATTGATGTGTTTTATGGAAGAAATGTGTGCGTCAAATGTATATTGAAGTTATTAGAAACATGCATGATGGAATACGATTTAACAATAGAAGTAGTTGAGTGATTAAGATTTTCAAAATACAATATGAGATGCTTACAAATGATATTCAAAATGAGTTGCTTTGGTGTATAGTTTTTGTAGATAATATTATTTTAATCAATGAATCATCTACTGAAGCAAGCAAAAATTAGAACTATAGAGAAAATGAGTTTTGAAGATAAAGACTTTATAATTAGTAAAACGGATGCAGGACATATATGAGAATATGATTTAGATAAGAATTTTTGCACGCTTAATGAGTAAGAGCAAATTAATTAAATCTTTATGGTGATTCAAACAATGAAATAAAACACAAAGAGCGGTAAACACAAGCTTAGGCCAAGTTACTCGCGAAAAGTAAAAACTACATAACAATCAATTACTCTTGATGTTGCATACGAGATGAGTTCCAACAAGAAATACCTAATCTAACAATAAGAGTAGTGCTTTGAAAGATCTCTCACACACTTTCTATTAAACACTAAGCTTTAGCTGAGCGTTTCAAGATTTTGCATGAATCAATCAAACCACAAATAAGGACCAATTGAGGAAGGTAAGAGTTCACCCTTGCTAAGATTCCACCTTCTCGCAAGCTTGGACAGCAGTTGGTGACTTGATGGCAGTGAAACTGTTGATCTCCTCTTGCTGGAATTGATGGACAGCAGTTTGAAACGGACTCCCGTTGGTAGGGAGGCCAGGGGAAGATGCCAGAGTTCTTGGACAACAATTTTTCTAATGCTGAAGTTCAAGACAGCAGCCAATCTTCTTTTGGATAGCAGTGGGGTTGGCTGAAATTCTTGGACAGGCTGCAGGTGGTGTCCAGAAATCTGGACAGCACTTGGAAACTTCAGGAAGAGAAGAAAAACTGAGAGAAGAGGGCTTGAAGTGGATGGAAAGGGCTGAGGGGGATCAGGGAATTGATTGGAGACTTAAGTTAGGAGAAATTAAGGAGATAGGAGAGAGGTAGGGGGGCGGCTTAATGATTGGAGCTTGATTGAATTTAAATTAGGAAAGGGTTTAATGGGAAAGGGAGGGGGTCGGCCATGCAAGAGGGAGTTAATTGGGGCTTTTGAATTCTTTCCAATCATAGGTGAGTAAATATGGAAAGGGATTTAAAGGAAAACCTTTAATTAAATTCAAATTTGGAACAATAGGAAAGTTTCCAAATTGAATCCGTCTTAATTTAAGAAAGGATTCAAATTCTAATGAACTTGAATTTGGAGTTTGAAAACTTTCCAAATTTAAGAGGATCTAAATTAGGTAAGCTTCCAATTCTTTCCCTAGAGGAGACTTGGGAGAGAAAAGGAAGGCGGGTGGGAAGAGGGCCGGCGGCATTATGAGGGGGAGGTGGTTTTGACAAGGCTTTTTAATGCTTGCCTAAATTGGATACTTAATTGAAGCCAAAGAAATTAAATCAAATCCAATTGGAATTTGATTTGGATGAGATTTATGAAACCTTCCTAAAATAGATTTCTATTTTAGGAAATAATTGGAATCTCAAACTTGATTTGAAATTTGAAATTATGGCTTTCCAAAATTGGAATTATATAAAAGGCAAGGGTTAATGGGATTGGAGTGGAGGAGGAAAGGGGAGGGGGATGGAGGTCGGCGGCCTAAGCTAGGTTGAAGGCCGGCGGTTGGGTTGGTGGCATGAGGGTTTGGCTAGTATGGGAAGTGAGGGTGTTGGTTGGTAGTTTGGAGTAAGGGTGGGGTCTTGATCGTCGGCTAGAGAGGAGAAGAAGTGGACCGTGGGTTGGAGGAAGGAGGAAGGAAGATTGGAAAAAGAAAGATAAAACAAGCCACAAATCCGGCTGTCTCCAAGGTTGGTGGGTGATCCGTTTTCCCTCTCCTAGGGATTTCTCCAAGACTCACAAACTCTCACATCAAGAGCACAAAACGCAGGAAATTTTCTTTCATATTCATCATTAACCGTCAAAGAAGAAGAAGAGAGGCTTTAAATATCCCATAAAATGAGAAAATACAAAGTACTACAATGCCCCTAGGGCTTACACATACCTAAGCCCTTAAGTAAGGCCAAAAAATGGAAAAACATAATAAAACTTCATAAATAAAAACTAATACATCAATAATAAATACGAAAATCAAAAGTAGAGCGGTGAAATCGTGGCCATAGATCAACAACCATGCCTCTAATAAATTTTCCATGTCCTGACGTCCTCATCAAAAACAAATTGAATATATATATGGATCTTAATTAGTATGATATTACTAATTATCAATTAATATGATTGAAAGATATGATAATAATGTGTAATAGGTTTAAGTATTTTAAATCACTTATATAAAAGAATGGGATACGATTGAGGATATAATTTCTAGAGTTAAGAGTATGTCGTTAAAACAAAACATATATCTTTGGAATATTATATGATTAGATAATAACATGAAGGCTTAAAGATGATTTTTATAAAACATAAATTAGGCTAACTGTGTTATATGGTTTCGAGTGCTTGACAGCAAATAAATTATTGAGACAAAGTGTAATGTGATGGAATTGAGAAATTTAGCATGAGTGGATGGGAAAATTAGGAATGATAAATTAAGAAATGATTATATTACATGAGCAGTTAGAGTGACATTTGTTGTAGATAAGGCTATTTAAAATAAAGTTTTGTAGTCTGAACTTATACAACGGAGGTTAAAAAGTGCACCCATTAGATGGTTGATTTATTTAGTGATAAAAGGATTAGGAAGGAAAAATGTTGAACTATAGTAACATGGATTGATGTTTTTAAATAATTTGTGAAGAATAGATTTAATATCTTAGTTAGCACTCAAGAAAATAAATGTAAAATGAGGATTCATAAACCAACGCAATCAGTGGAATATGGAAAATGATGATCATGGTGATGATGATGAGATGTGCTTGTGGTAACTTATTTTATGCTACTAACATGCAACCAAAGAAGGATTGAGAAGTTATGCATAAATATCATGAATAGTTGGAAATCCAAAAAACAAGTTTGAAATTTTATATATATTAACCAGTCAAATATCAAGACCACTTTAAAGAATATGTTCTGTCCAGCTATATGAAAAATTCTTGAAACTTGGTAAATTAGTTCGAATAATCATGTTTCTATTTGAAGTGATGCCAAGTATGTCAGTCCCGGAATTTATGTGATTTACAGGAGTTAATTGCTTTTAACTATAGTAACAATATATTTTTCACAAATTAAAGATATTACCTTCTTGAGAAATGCAACAGTTAAGGATGAGTATGGCAATCACAGTTCTAGTAAACAATTAACTAGGATGGTTTTTCTTGTTTGTTGAGAATGTTTATCATGATTCCTATATTAAGGATTTATGATTCACAATGGTACACATCTCTAGTAATTCAGCCTTCTTCAACTTCAGTTTTACATATCTGTAATGACCTGCATGCCTTTGCAGGGCAGATGCTGCAGCTGTTGCTATCACCACCACTGATCTTGTCAGCAAAAGTGTTGCCATAGAGGCTGAGGTTGACTTAATTTTCTTTATAAAGTTATGCTCTCTTTCTTTATGTGATATCTATGAAAGCTTTAAACTGTTGTCATGTTTTTGGATCTATTTTTCTAATTTTAATGTCTTTAAATATTTTAGGTTGGAGGAGCACATGTAAAAGTTGGGGGAATGACCAAAGGTTCAGGAATGATTCACCCAAACATGGCAACTATGCTCGGTGTAAAACCCATTATCTAATGCTCTATCTGTGATAGCATTGGGTCTTTTGAAGGGAGCTCATAGGATATATCAATTCTACAGGTTGTAACAACTGATGCTCCGGTCACCAGTGATTTATGGAGAGAGATGGTCCGAATATCAGCAAACAGAAGTTTCAACCAGATCAGTGTGAGTAGAAAGTACCTTGAATGATGCCTTGATATGAACTTCAATGCTTTTTTGGCTCTATTTATCCCCTTTCCCCCTCAATTCCCTTTTAGCTACCTGTCAACTAATATTTCCATACACAAATCAATTAGATGGAAAAATTGTGGATTTTTTTTGCCTTTGTATTCATCAACTGGTGCTTTGGGATAAAGGCTTGTTGTTGTTTTATTCATCAATTGGTGTTCTTATACAATTCCTTCTCATGTAATTTTCAAATGTTTTTATTGTTTTTACCCATTTTAGGTTTCATGCTGGTGTCAATAGGGATTTATGTAATGTAACTAGATTGTTGTCCCAGCATTTTGAATTTTCCAGGCTATCTATAAATGAACTTCCTTATATATCATTGTTTCTTACAGGTAGATGGAGATACGAGTACCAATGATTGTATCATTGCTTTGGCCAGTGGATTAGCTGGTCCAGTCAAGATATCTTCATTTAATAGCATAGAGGGATGTCAACTTCAAGCGTGCCTTGATGCGGTGAGTTTACGTAAATTTTATGCTTTGTGAATAAAATTTATGTTCAATCAATGCTTCAGAATATGGATCGGAGGCTTTGAATGGGCTATAGGAATTAAATATAAATAACATGGTTGTTTCATTAAGCCTATGCTTTAAAAAGACATCAACAATGATAATTATGATAAGGCCCATGATGACAGATGATGGCGTGATGCTGAAATTAAGCATTTTTCTTTTATGAGATTGCTTGAATAACTGAATCTAACTGAATGTTATCAGTTCATTCACTGCAATTCCATCTGCATGCTAACTTCTTTGGGTATTCGAATTTTATTTCTGTGTTACAAAATCTTAGCCTTAATATATATTTGCGTTGCTTTACAGCTCTGTTAATCCTATATTTTTTGTTGCTGAAGCTTAGACTAACATATATTGAGATTATACAATGAGTTCTCTGGTGTCTTTTAAGGAAATTGTGCCAATACAATTTTCGTTGATGCATCAAATTGGCCATTCTTTTGGTAAATATGCTAAGCATTGATATTATATCACATTGAACGGTGTAAATCATTTTGTGGCTTGCAGGTTATGCAAGGCCTTGCAAAATCAGTGGCTTGGGATGGTGAGGGAGCAACATGCTTGCTTGAGGTTTTCTTATGCTTTTAAACCGTTTATAGCTTAGCTGATCTTCTATATTGTAGAACAATATTTGATACATTGTCTGTTAGCCGGTTTTAAACTTTTTCTTATGTAAATAAACAAACTCACAAATTTTACATCACTCTGATCACCATAGTTAATTTCTACAACATAGTTTAAAGTGTGTAGAAAAATAAGTCAACATCAACATCATGCCTTAGTCCCACTACGTGGGATCGGCTACATGAATCCTCTTTCTCCATTGTGTCATGTTAAAAGTCAAATTCTCATTTAAATCTAATAAAGAAAGATCATTTCTAATATTTTCTAACCAAGTCTTTTTAGGTCTACCTCGACCTTTCTTAACATAAGGCAAATCTAATACCTCTACTTTCTTAACCGGGTCATTGAAAGGCCACTGTTTTATGTGACCAAACCATCTAAGGAGACTCTCTCTAATCTTATCTTCCATTGGCGCTACTCCAACCTTTTCACGTATATGCTCATTTCGTATCCTATTTCTAAGGGTAAAGCCACTTATCCACCTGAGCATCCTCATCTCTGCAACACTTAGTATTATGCTTCTCTTTTAATGGCCAACATTCGGCTCCATAACCATCTTATAAAATTTTCCCTTAAGTTTGAGGGGGCCTTTTCTATCACACAACAAGTCTGATGCATTCCTTCACTTCAACCATCCAACTTGAAGTAACGATTTTATGTCTTTTAGGTGGTTGTTTTTGGTGCCAATAATGAGGCAGAAGCTGCAAAGATTGCTCGGACAGTGGCATCTTCTTCACTTGTAAAAGTATAGTATTGTCGACTATAGTTTCTTTTTTTTATTTTAATTAACCTGGCTTTCTATGTGATCCAGCTTTTGTCTTGTTAATTTTGCTTCTGCTGAGCTCAATTCCTTCTTTATTCTCCAGGCAGCTGTCTATGGAAGGGATCCTAATTGGGGTCGCATAGCATGTGCTGTTGGCTATGCTGGCATTGATTTTGACCTTAATGATCTTCACTTATCATTGGGAGATATTCCTCTCATGCGCAGTGGCCAGCCACTTCCGTTTGATAGGTATTATGGAGCATGCCATCATCATTTTGATTTGTCTTATCTCAACTCTCTGGGGATGGCTTTATGTATAATTAATCTCTATTCATTTTTTTAAGCATTGCACATGTTATTCAACTCTACTTTTTGCGTTTTTTTTTCGACAATTTTTATATAAATTGCTTTTGGTTTGCAAGTTTTCATTCTCATTCTTAACCACATCAATTTTTTCTTGATATTTTGTTTTTGTACCTTTTGCTCTATGTTAGACCTGGCCAAATCACTTAACTTTATTTTTTGCAATATTGTTTTGCGCAGGCTCTACTTTTGTTTGTAAGATGACTCAAAATTGTCAAAAGTTTCATGGATAAGGGACTGTGATTATTTAACCGGTTTATGTCTAGCTTTCTTCTCACCACCATGACTTAGATCATTTCTCATTTTGATACATTTAAGTGAACCTAATTATTCATATTTGTGAATATACCAACCTAATATTTTTCTTCCCACTGAGATATAATTATGTGAACCCCAATTAATCAATCATCGTCCACTAATTTCAATTAAAGATTAACAAATAAAATTGAAAGAAGAATCCTTTTTGCTTATCTCTTTAATGGCCACTACCATTGATTCTACAGTTAACAATCGTGCAACATAGATTCAGTGGTGGTTTGGTAAGAAATATATGTCATTGAATGTCATTTTGGCACTGGATTGTTATTTGACAATAAAAAGTTGTGGTCCAATGGTAGTTTGATAATGATCAGGTGGTGGGTCCAAAAAGTAGGTGCAATTATCGACAGAGATAGTATGGTGGTCATCCAAGAGTGACTTCAAAGCCAATGTTGGTTTGAAGGTTATCCAATTGCCTAGCTACCAAAAGTAGCCTGGTGGTGATCCAACTGTGTTTTGTGGTGATATGATACCGATTTGATGGTGGTTAGGTCTTGATTGGTTGGTCTAGCATCCAACAAGCATTGAGATGGAGGGAATTCAAGGTTAAATTTAAAAAATATATTATGGTAAATTGAACTTGTGTTTTTGAAGTTTAGAACATACTTCATGTTGGTTCATGTTTTAAAAAACTCTCCACTTTGGTCACTACACATCTTGAGATTTCATATTGATCCCCGCAAGAAGATTCTAGCTTCATATGCATCTTTTTTCATTAACAACTTCAATCTTTGTTTGTTTAGCTTACTTGATACATCACTAAGTTAATGTAAATGCAATGGTTCTCCTATTTTTGTTCAAATAGATGACAATCGTCATAGGCGTCTCGGATGAGGAGGCTTAGTAGGAGAGGGATTAAAAGCTGGAGAACTATTTTGGGTTGGGGGGTGGAATCACTATCGATATAGTAACAAGGAGAAGGTGACAGATGGGATGTTTGTTTCCTTTAATGGGCCGAAGGTCCTCTAGGTGCTATGGCTTTGATAAAATTCTCAACCCTTTGAGTGAAATTAATGGGGTAATTAGATGCAAGTCTCTTGGGATTTGAATGGTTGGATCATTCCCTCCCCTTTTTTTCTATAAGCATGTTAGGGGGATCTCGCCAATTCATGCTTCATTGGCTTCATTGATATGTGCTTGCACAAATATGCACTTCTTTGACCACATTAATTCTTTCATTACTGGGAATTCTGACATTTATTCTCAATTAGCAGCTCTATTGACCAAAGATTCTTCATGAAAACTTATTTTATATGTGGGAGACCGGAAATGCAGGGTGGTGGGTGTGGGCTCTAAAAAGCTTGCCCATCCTTGATTTGCAGAGAATGAACTATGTTGAAAAATGTATTTGCTATTCAGGAGGAATATAAAGCCATACTTGGAGATCTTTTCCTCTTGCGAGGACTTAATGTTTGTGATTTGAAGGTTTTCTTGGGAACAAGATATGGTTTATTACCCCCCTTATGACGGATGGAACTCTCCATGAAGACTATTAATGTGTGATTTCAAATATATATATGCTGCATTGAATTTTTTTGTACAAGATGGAAATGATTTGCTAGCATTCTGGGGTTTGATTTTGGGGGATGATGACAAGATTGGTTCTGTCATATTGGGTAGTCACAGACTTTGGAATATTAAAATGTGCTTGTTTGATTACATTCATACGGCATTGACTCCTTTGTGAGTTTGGATTGAATATGAAGTTAGCACTCTTAGCTCAGTGAGGAGGGTCGAGGTTGCTTTCAATTGGTTAAACCTTTTTTATATTATTTTTGTTCGCTAACTTTTTTTTTTATAAAATTTTGGTATAATTTTATGAAATTTATATTGGTTTTTGGGCATTTAATATTTTGGGTTTGAGGGCTGATAGTGGCTAGGTAGATTGATCGAGGTTGGAGGTTGGAGGTTGGATATTGAGGGATAAAAACATTTTGGTGATTGGGCGTTGGGGTAAATATCGGTTTGAATGACTTTGAGTGTAGGTTGGCTTGCGAGTAAGAATCTTGGTTAAGTTTTTGATGGCAATAAGGATGTCATTGGAGTGCTTGGGATTGAGATTGGTGTTGTGGGTTAGTTGAGTTATCTTTTGTTGGCTTGGTCATCAATTTTCTTCAGCCTACATGGCAGTAACTTCCTCAAAGAAAGACAGGTCACCAACTTGATTTATAGACTTTTCAAGCAAGTGCTTCGTATACGGCCTTTTTATTTTTGCTTATCGGTCTAATTATTAGTGAACAAACTATTTTCGGCATAATGATCTGACCATTATAACCTCTTAGTTTTAGACGTGCTCTTATAGTCTTTTCATCTCCTTATCTAGATTGATTAGAGCATTGCAGATAGTTCCATAGTCTTAAAGTCTTTTGACGAGTTAGGATGTTGATTTAGCTAGAGTTGACTGGGGTTGGTTATGATAGGGGGTTGGTGTTGATTGGTTTGGTTAAGTGGGAAAGGTTGTTATGTTCTGATGAAGGTAAATGTAGGGGAATTTATTTTTATATTTCCAAGGTTTGGCATTACTTTCGGCCATGATTGATATATATTTTACTAGCCTTTATTCTTCTTGTTGATAAGACTAGAGAGGGAGTTTAAGGTAAACTTGAATTATGGAGGTCAACCTTAGAGTCTAAAGGCTTTCGTTTGAGTAGATTTAAAACTGAATATATGGAGTGTAATTTTAGTAATAATAGATCTTGTGGCAGTGATAGTAGCATCAACCTTCATCAGAGAGGTAGTTAGACTGCCTGGTGTACTAGATGCGATAGTATCCGACAGGAATAAGGTATTCCTCAGTCATTTTTGGAAGGAGCTATTCAGATTGTAATGAACAATGTTGAAAGGAGTACCGCCTACCACCCACAGACGGATGACCAAATAGAAGTGGGCAACATGAGCTTGGAGACCTACCTCAGATGTTTTTTGTCAGAGACACCCATATTATGGGCCAAGTGGTTATCATGGGCTGAGTATTGGTACAACACCTCGTATTATTCTGCTTCTCAGATGACACCGTTCAAGGTGTTGTACGAAAGGGATCCGCTTCACTTGGTGCACTTTGGGAGTAGCAGCGCTTCAATTTATTCAGTGGAGTACTTGTAGGAGACGAATAGGGTGTTAGAGGAGTTGAAGAGACATTTACTGAGAGCTCAACAAATTATGAAGAAACAAGCTGATGGGCATAGGAAGGACATACAGTTCGAAGTAGGGGAGAGGGTTTTCTTGAAGCTCTGACCATACAGACAAAAGACAGTCGCTCATAGGAGGAATGAGAAGCTTGCTCCAAGGTATTTGGACCTTATGAAGTAGTGGAGAAGATTGGGACAGTTGCATATCGGCTGAAACGACCATCAATGGAAACTATACATCCGATTTTTCATGTATCTCAGTTGAGGAGGGCTATTGGGGATTATACAGTCAGCTCGGAGCTACCGACGACACTTACTGAGGATTTAGAGGTGATTATAGAATCCTTAGAGTTATTGGGGGTTCGCCAGAAAAAAGACGGAACTAGTGAAGTGCTAATCAAGTGGAAGAATATACTTGATTACGATGCCATGGAGCCATACGAGAATGGTGAGACATCAGTTTCATAGTTTTCACCTTGAGTACAAGGTGGTTCTTTGAGAAGGGGGTATTGTTACGGTTCTGGCCGAATCGCCCAAATAGACCTAGGTGGGGCCAGTTCAAACCTATAGGAGGCGGGCTAAGCCGCCTCATTTAATTACCTCCCAAGCATGTGGGTCCCCTAGGGTGGCAAGGAGAGAGAGGGAAGGGGCATGAGGAAACTATTTGAATTAATGTTTATTTTAGGAAATCTTTTATTAGTTTTTATTAAGAAGATATGCATTAAAAGAGGGGCGGAGGCTAGGGTTAGGGCATGCAAGATTTGAGTTGTTCCTTAGGAGTCTTCTTTGGCGTCGTGGACTCTAGATCTATAATCTAGAGATTGGGAGAGACGATCCTCCTCTCGAATTGAGGATTAATTGTATCTTGTTTGGTGTTTGTTTTGCTTCTATTATAATATTGCAATTTGTCGTCTTTGGATTGCTTTCATCCAGATTTTTTGGTATTTTTCTTGCTGTTTTGGACCAATTATTGCTAAGGTTGCTTGCGAACTCAAGTATTTCCTCTTGAATTACTTGCAAACTCAAGTACTTCCTATCAGATTTTTGAATTCCCACACTTGAGGGAATTTAATGACATTTTAGGCTAGGCAAACAAAATATTCTCAGCAGGAGTGTAATCCAAAAAAGTTGGCCTCCAGGACTTGCAACTAATTTTTCATTTTATCAGTATCCACTACTCCATAAAAAATAAGCAAGCAAAAGTGAAAATTTTCAGTTTTGCATCAGGGTATTTGACTTTTGTAGTTCTTTTATTAAGGTTAAGTGCTGGATTTATAAATATGTATAGTTTAGGTAGCATTTGTATAGTTTTTTCTAATTTTAATTATGTTGAAGCTCACGAACAAATTTAATGTAAAATTGAAATTAAAATGGGAGAGAATAATCATTTTTCTTAGTTCATTTATATTTAGGGATGCACACGTCATTATAAACCATTTTTAACATGATTTTATAGTCTCATTTTTCCATCATGCAACATCTATTTTGTAAATCAAGATAATTATTCTTATTATATATTATTAAAGGAAGCAGGAGACTAACTTTCATAAACTTTCAATATGATTTAGGCTTCGTTTGGGACAGGTTTCATACTACTTTTTAAAATGACTTTCTAGTAAAAGCAATGACGAAGGATATGTTGCGAATATGATGGGTCCTCTGTAAACATAGACATGCGACACATCATTTACAAGCAAGGGATGAAGATCGCAGTGAATGCAGAAGGACCACAACAAATGCAAACACTTACGTATAACAGTTAGAGGCTTTTGAAGGATCACTAATTGCTTGCATATGACGACATAAGGCCTGTAATGCATATAGCGATCACGCCTGCAAGCGACAATAGCGGACGTTCTGCAAGTGCAATGAATTCTCTATTGGTATAAGTAAGAAGATTGCAACGAGCGTAACGCATTACTTGTAGGAAAAGGCAACGAGCTTGTGACGAACGCAAGCATATACGAGCAACTGCAGGAGATTCATTAGTACACGACAGTCTTCCTGCAATAAGCAACAAGCAACTTGTTGCGCAACACTACGATTCACCTGTATGCAAAAGCAGATAATCAGTGGTAAAATTGCAGGCCACTGATAAGATGAAGCAGTAAATTTGCGATGCTAGGCTGTCATATCAAATAAATCTCATTTGCAAACGATAGGTAGGAGGCTCCTAATGCGTCGCACAATGTATTTGCCGGCATAAGCACATTCTTGCGAGTTGAATGTTGAAGAAGATGACAACATGCGAAAGATAAAAATAGATGAGCTACATCGTCAGTGCATGACAGTCTGACAGAAGAAGTCCAATGTACTGTTGAACCACGATACTGGATCCACAATATTTATACAAGTGGATAGAAGGCATTTACATACACTTAAATGGAAATTTACGCATTTTTCAAATGATCATCACCTGCATAATCAACCATACTTGGATATTTCAAAAAACACCTCATGCCTTGATGCACACACTGACGCGTTCAGGATATCCATATGCATTTAACGAATGCTTTGAAAGGCATGTAAAGTGCTTCATAAATGCACTATGCAAGCACACTACCCAACATGCAAAGTGTATTATGCAAATACAATATGCAACATGCATACATGCAACCACGATACAAATGCATCTTACAGAATACATGCAAAATCATACACCCGCATGGGCCCTAGTGAGCGTGTTGTTGGTACGCACGTAATGTTTGAAGATGCTACGTGGGTTAAAAAAATGAATTGAAGTTCGAGCCCGATCCTTCTATGTGAATAGATAGGAGTTGACACGCCTCAAACAATACAACAAATATACGGTCGCGGTATCAACCACAATATTTGTTTTATACATTCATATTAGGCCTTGCATTAACAATTGCCTTTATGTTGGCCTTTACAAGTTTGCTCTGGGAAAAGTTTCAATTTTCTTCGAATATCTTTAGGCAGCCTGCAACAGATTTCATTAAGATTGATTGTTCCAGTAATGAAGCATTCATTTAAATGGCTATATCACTTGAATTCAATGATGTAGACTTGCATCAACTGCTCGCATCTCTACCTTAAATATTGGCACCACATCCATTTCTTCTCCTCATAGTTGATGGGATAGAAATGTGCTTTCAATATTATTTAAATATGCCCATACCAATGTTATTTGGGATATGTTGTTGTTTAAGGATTTTTTGAATTCCAACACATGAGGAAATTTAATGACATTTTAGGCCCTAAACAAAATATTCTCTGATTGGAAAAAAAGTTGGCCTCCAGGACGTCCAACTAATTTTTCATTTTATCTGTATCCACTGCTCCATAAAAAAAAAGAAAACAAAAGTGAAAAAATTCTGTTTTGCATCAGGTTGTTTGACTTTTGTAGTTCTTATTTTTAGGTAGTGCTAGATTTATAAATTGTATTGTTCAGGTAGCATGTGCATAGTTTTTTCTAATTTTAATTATGTTGAAGCTCATGAACAAATTTAATGTAAGTTAAATTTAAAATGGGAGAATAATAATTTTTCTTAGTTCATTTATATTTAGGGATGCACTCGTCATTATAACCCTTATTAACATGATTTTATAGTCTCATTTTTCCATCATGCAGCATCTACTTTGTAAATCAAGATAATTATTCTTATTATATATTATTAAAGGAAGCAGGATGCTAACTTTCATAAACTTTCAAGGTGATTTAAGTTTTGTTTGGGACAGCTTTCTTACTGCTTCTTAAAGCAGCTTTTTAAGTAAAAAATTAAAAATTTTATACTAAAAAGCTGCTTTAAGAATCAGTAATAATGCCGTCCCAAATGAAATCTTAGTCATATATCAAGCAACATAATGACATCCTTATGATTTGGATAGTTAGATAATTGATTAATTAATTTTATTGTGTAGGATTACTGAAATCTAAATAGAATGAATAAGGAGAGAGAGAGAGAGAGAGAGAGAAATTATAAGTTTTCTTTTTTTCTTTACAAATCATCCTTTTCACTTGAGTCTTTATGGCACCTGCAACAAAAATTACACGAAATTTATACACTATGTTGTAATAAATCCACTGCAGATTTGTAAACAAAATCCTATTCAAATGCTTCTTTGCAGGGTCGAAGCCAGCACTTATCTGAAACAGGCTGGAGAGTCTCACGGCACTGTAAAGATCCACATTTCTATAGGCAAGCCTGCAAACTATATTCCATAATCATTATGTTTCTGAACTGTTATTGTTTGTTCTTCGTTCAATGCTCATCTGGTGGCAATCTTAAAACCTGCAATTCTTTTCTCTGTTAATATCAGGCAATGGAAGAGGGTGCGGAAAGGCTTGGGGATGCGATTTGAGTTATGATTATGTTAAAATAAACGCTGAATATACTACTTGATGCTTAAGAGACAAGTCATGCTATTCACCTAAGGTGTGCAAATCTTTCATGAGTGTAGGATTTGTCGTTTTGACATTCTTGGAATTAAGTTTTTTTTTATGTATTTTATTTTTTAAAAAAAGGGAAATGTACACTTAAGACGTCCTGGAATCCATTTTCTACTTATTTTGTGTGTTTATTTGTATCATGTACTGTACCAAAAATTTTGTAGTGTACTTTTGAGATCTGAATGCTTTATGCTCTCTGCAATTGGAAAAATTATTACGTTCATACTTCAAACACCTTCTGGAGACTAATAAAAATGTGCCATGTCACCCTTTTACTGTCCTGCAGCTTGGTACTGCTTGGTACCGCCGTTCGGTACTGCTACATCCGAATGTATAGCTACGTCTAGCTTCCGCATAGAATTATTTTCCTACAATTGAGGCTACAAACTAAGATATGGTCATTGCTTGTTCTTGAACATGTTTTCCTCTGATTGAGCGCATGAAAGATAAAGTTAGCGAATCCTGACAAACAAAAATGTGGATAGATTAAGTTTATAAACCTCTTAAGTACAAGGTATCAAGAAAGAATGAAAGTCTTAAAATAATCCTTTTGCGACATCAAGACATGTTAGTTATGTTCATGAGTTGTTAAGAACTTAAGTGCTGTTCTGCCATATACACAACATCAAAATACAGAATTAAATATGAACATTTTGACGTAGAATTCTATTATACATGTTTATATTTACTATACTTGGAAGTTTTTTGTTGGCTTTAGAATATGATGTATTTATTGATCTAGTTAAATTTAAGTATTATTCTTCTAATTAGATCTTGAGGCACGACAGATGCTGCTACACTCGTCACTCTCATTGCTTATAATTGACTCGCTTAAGATGGATGAATTGAACCCTACCAAGCTAGCTGATGCGAGTCTCAAGAGATTGAAGAAATCCGTCATTCGTAAATGCAAGTTAGAAGAGTGTAAAGGAGATAATGGCCACAACAATGAGTGTTTCCATTGGTCGAGAAATTATTCTGTGCGGATATTAGATGGTCCGAAGATCAATCAAAATGCGTCACGTCACCTGATATACAACGGCATCAAGCACTGGTACTGAGCAAAAAAATGACATGACATATTTTGATTGGTCTCCAAACGTCTTTCGGTGTCTGCATAGAATAAATCTTCCTATTGGCCTAGGGCCAAGTGAGCTAGTCACACCTATGCCAGAAGAGGAAGAGAAAGTAGTAAGGTTGCGATGAGTGAAAGTGCCTAGGGAAAGTGATTATTTCTTGAACTAGGTAGATTAAATAATTGCGAGAGTTTGCAGCATGCCTGCTAACATAGTAATGATTCCGTAAGGTTACCGAATGCATTCGGAAACCAATAACAAAACTCCACGTACTAAAGTGCTCGGTATTGTGCTCGGTACAGGCGCTCCGTACACTCGGTATGCTCGGTATTTTTACCGGACGCAATAAAAATTCCTGCTAACACCACTAACTTGAGAAATTTTTTTTTATTGTATTATCTTCTCATATAATTTAAGTTAAGATGGAGTTAAAAATTATTGAATTTATTTTAAAATTAATCCAATATAAAATTTTGATCTACAATAGTTCGAATCTTAAAATAAAAATTTAATTATTTTTAAGATCATTAAAAATTATATCAAATATTCTAACCAGGAAGAAGGAACTGTGAGAGAAGCAATACAATATATCCCAAGGAGCTGCCATGGCATCCTCCTACTTCAGCATTTTTTTTTAACCAGAACAAAAAATTTCATTAAGATAGAAAATTACAACATAAGACTTAAAGAAGGGCCATATCATTAGAATTATAATTAATAATAAAATAAACATCAGTGACAAAGCAAACTGAGAGTAGGAAACACAGAATCAGAAGAATGTCGGATTCAGACCGACACTTAGTTGTCAGAGATGGGCCATCCATGAAAGACACAACACATCCGAACTGAAAAGCCGCATTGAGCCATCCAGGTTGCCAAACAACCCTGGCCATCCAAGGCGCATGCAACAAAGCTGCTTCTTCATCGTCCATTCCGAATCGAATCTAGCATCGCAACGAAAAGAACAGCAATTGAAAAATAATCAAACAACACATCCAAGAACTTTCAAAAGAAGAAAATCATCCTTCTTGGAATTCCGTTTACGTTGCCACCTAACATCTCTAGCAACATGCATGGGCTAATTATGCCTTCAATGCAAACTTGTCTGAAGTGTCGTGTTATTTAGACAAGCCTTCAAACTGTATTTCATAATTATTTAGACAAGCTCTTAAAGTGCTTAGCCTAGATCCTCATTTTTATTGATAGATCTATGTTGCATTTCTTATATTTATAATTGGTTGCTTTTCAAGATAAATCCATAGGGTTTATTAATTATTAAATATACTTGTTTATGATGTGAGTCAATTTATATGTGGTAATTGTGCATGTAAGAAAATATTTAATAGGAAAGCTTTTTTTTTTTGCTTCTGATATCAAATTTTTTTTTAAGAGAGTCAGAAGCTAGAGACACACAAGGGTTCTAAAGCATTAATCTAGGAATATCTTGAAGGGTTTAGAGGGATGGATTGTAAAAACCTGATAATTTTGAAAATTATATTAAAAAGAAAAAAAAAATGAAAGTTTTGAACTAGAGTACTGCGTTGTTGTGCTTGTAGGCACTGCAGCTCCAGAAATTACTGCCGCGGCATTGAAGGCTATGTTGTACAGCAATTCTGGATTCATCATGCAGCGTAACGACACCATGGCATGATGTTTGACTGTTGCGGCGCACTACAAGAAAAATGCTAATTCCGGAGATGAAATTAATTAAATTAAATATTATTAAACTAAAATAATTAAAATGTTATAATAATCATTATTATGTTATTTTAATTAATTTAAATAAATTAATTAGATAATCTAATAGATATTGTTAAATAGATTAAATAATTTGAACATATCATGTATTAAAATTAACTATTAAAAATATAATTTAAATATGAAAACCCAGCCAAAATAACAAAGAATGTATCGCAGCTCATTGGATAAATTGTGGTTTGAAGTAGGCGGGTTTCATGGGGTTGCGCTAATGGGTTTGCGAGTGGGCCTGATTCACGGGCCCACAGAGTGCAAGTGAGCCTGGTTCATGGTAGGGCGAGCGCTAAGGGGCAGGCTGCGAGGCCACTCGGGCTAAAATATAACATTTTTTTTTAATTTTTTTTCTAAGCAATTTCCGACAGAAAAATTTGCCGAATTTTTTCGAGGCTGATTTTTTTTCACAGTGTTTGTTTTCCGAACGCGTGACTTACAGTTGGAAAATTTTCCGTCAAAAATTCGCTAGAAATATAAATTATCGACATATTTTATTTTATTTTTCTGCGTAAATGACCCTGAAAATTAACGTTTTCCGTACGTAATGGCTCTAGACTACAAATAATATTTATATATATATTACATTCTAAATCTAAACACTAAGTCATTCCTCCCCCTCTCATTCGTGTGGCTTGCCATGGAAGAAGAGAAAAAAGGGAGAGGAAAAGAGAGAGAAAGCTAAGTTTTTGTCATTTTTATCTGTTGATTCAATTAAGAAAAATCTTTTGATCGTAGTAAATAACTTAAAACCTACTTTTATTTTCAATAATTTTGTATCTGCTAATTTAATTTACCTAAAAAAGGATAAAAATATATTTTCCCCAAATTTATTGCATTTTCATATTGTAACTTTTTTTTGCATATAATAGAAATGACTGAAATGAACATTTAAACTATAACATTATTGAATTTCATTGGGTAAAATAAACGTTATAGTTTTATGAAGTTATTAGCTAGTATACAAATTTTTCTATATTTTATAGATTTTTGCGTTTTATGTTGCATTTCTTACATTAAAGAAAGGCTGATACCATTGATTCAAAATAAATGTGATATTTGCATGTAAGCAAGGGAAACTAGCTATTAATACTATAATGAATATGAGTTAACTTTTAAAAATATAATACTATGTGTATGAGGGTGGGTTGAGGGACTTTTTTTAAAATAAAATGTTTGGGTGTGATCTTGATTGTAGCCTGTAACTGATGGTTGAATTACACTGACGGGTAAAGAGTGACGACTCTTAAATGAATATTGAAAGTCACATTTGAATTGACTTAATATATAATATACAATAATGATAAGATAAAGCTCGATAACCAACTGGTTGATTATTGGGTTTAAATTAAAGGTCGATGACCAATTGGGCGATGTTTGGGGTGGAAGGAGGAAACACATACCACATTAAAGTTGAATGTCCTGTCTTGCTCTTCGTAATTATATTCATAATTGTATTGACATAATATTATATGAATTAATTGATAGAGACAATTAATATAAAACTTACTAAACTAGTATTGATACTAATGCAACAAAACATAGCCTGTCCATTGATTGATCACTTTTAATTGGTTTTATTATAATTTGATAGATCTCTTTTATCTTTACTAATCATATTAATTTTGTTGTTGATTTATATGGACTGAAACTGGAGCAGATCGACATTAATTTTTTTGTCTTATATTGAATGTACTGGTAAGTTTTGATTATCTGCTGGACTTTTGTACTCATTACATGATTTCAAATGATTTCAAATGAATGTAAGAAACCTAGGGATTGAGGCTTAACAAAACAATGTTTTGATTTTATCTTAAGTTCTCTAGTTTATATGCATTCTTTTGTAGCCGATAGTGCCTATTGTATATATTATTTTTGAACTTTGGAACAAAATATAATATTGACTGTAGTAATTTGTGTTTCGTTGTTTATACTTAATTAAATTTTTTTGGATGTAATTAGTCAGCTCTAATTTATGATGATCTGATTATAAATGAGTATCGATTATTAACAAAAAATAGATAATAATATGAATTGAGAATGATGAACATAATTATTAAAAAGAAAGGAGATCGATGAAATTCTTATACTATAGATCCCGCGGTGTGACAAGGATAACCTACTCTAAGTCTACAAGGTAAAATTAACATTTAGTACATGAGAGCCATTAGAAAAAAATCCCTCATAAATCTATCTGATCAATTGTTTTACTGTGCTTCATCGAAGTAAACTCGCTGTCATGTGACTATCCAACAGTTCTTGATTTGCCAAGTTTATGACAGACGGAGAGATTGGAACCATGCAAAGCCCTTCTCTTCTCAAGCTGGATGATCTGTAATGGCAATTGTCAGCTCCATTTTTCATTTCCTGCATTTTTTCATGCACAAAATATAATTAGACAAAAAAAAGGACGAAATTATCATTGCTGCAATGAATTTAGAAGCATAATATGCAGACCTGAATTCCTTCGGTAGCAGAGATCGATTCAACGTAAGGTTTGCTCAGCAACTGAAACCAAATTGCATAAAAAATAATTATTAGAATTACTGCGCGCATTGCTCCACATAATGTAATTGTTCTTTTTGCAGTATATATATACCTTAACCTGTTCATGCAGTGCTTTGATATAAACTGCAGCCTCATGAAGAACCGAAGCTGTATCAGCCTGAAATCAAGTTTAGATTATTTTTTTGTTAATTGCATGCAGTAATCAAGGAATTAGCATAATAATAATAGTTCTTTCATTTGATTTGTTTTGTTAATTAATTGTATTATACCTTGCCAAATGGAGAAACTAGCTGCTGTAGAGCAGTTATCTTATCCCCGAGCTTCTGGCTCCTCTTCAATGGTGCCTTCACGTAAAACATACACCTATATCTTAGTTCTAAGATCTCAAACAATTAGAAGGAGAGAGAGAGAGAGAGCTTGACTCAACATATCTTGAGCTAAATATACTAAATACTAACTTTTTAAGCTGCAACATTTTTTTTTTAAAATTATAAAAGGCTATTTTTTTGTCAGAAGAAAGTAACTGTTTGGATTATTCTTTTGCATAAGGAAAAAAAAAAAAAAAAAAGAATTAGGCTGTCATGAGCTAAATTTTTAAGTTTAACAAAAATGTTATCTTGTAATATTGAAAGATTGTCTTGCAAATAGATCAAAATATAATTGTTTAGTATTGTAAGTTATGTTTAGCCAAGGATAGATATCATAAGCTAATTTAGTTTTCTAGGGATAATTAGTATCAAAGTTGCTGAAGAAGCTTAGTTAATTACTTTCAGATTTTGTTCTGCTGTCATCATCATTGATGGTGAAGAAGAAGTTGATTCAAATGAAGTAAAACAATGGAGATTTCCTTCTTGAACACCAGTCTTCTGCCTCTTAGAATCTCTTATTACAGCTTCTATGTTCTTGTTTTCATCTAATTTCCTTCTATGTTGCCTCAAATCCACCACAACCTACAAAATAAAATATAAAAGAATAGTAAATAAAATAGCTGAGAGAGATTATTGGATTGATCACATAGTTATTAGCTTTGATGCTTAATTATAACTAATGAACAAATACTAATTACCTCATGCTGGTTTCTTCTCCCACTATCCATAGCAATTGAAGAGCTCCTATCCACTGCAATTTTTCATTACCTCAACATCAGTTCATGCAAAGATCAATCAATCAATCAATCAAAAACTTAATCACGAAACTGAAATTGTTAGGGGAGCTAGCTTAGCTCAATATTTTCTTTTGAGTTAATCTGTATTTTATGTGTTATTTATATTAATTAATCTATATATAATGCAATAGATCTTGATAATTATAAGAAGAATAACCTTTAAATGGTGCAATATATGGATCTATTGCAGATTCTATGCTGAAAGCATTGCTACTCTGCCAAGAGATGATGCCACAGCCACCATAGCTATTCCTATAAAACAATCATAAAAAAAAAAAAAAAACCAAAAAAGGTAAGAAAAACAAGATAATCAAGTAAAATTTCTGATCCCATTATTCATAAAGAAATTAAATATATATAGTTTATGCATGAAGCTCACATAGAGTCAACTGAAGATGAACTATTCGGGCTTGACAAGCTCGACCCATTGCTCACCACCGTCGCCGGAGACCACCGTCCCTTGACAAGATCCGCCGTCGTAAGAGCCGAAGGGACGAGTCTGCACGCTGCAGGTGCTATATTCATGGGTGGCGCCGTACCGCTTTCACTATAATGATCAACTCTAACTTGAAGCCTCGGGTCAACGGGTAATTCGACGTAATGGCACGGCTGCGGTGGAGGGGTGGCGGCCATCGACCACCATGAATCCACCTCTGACTCAAAGAAACGTAGCATGGCTGAATCTTATGAAGCGATTGATCGCTTGTAGAAGATTGATTATGGAATCAATAAAGAAAAGATGATTGAAGTATGAAGAAAGGGTGCATGTGAAAGCTTAAAAAGTAATGGTGGAGGACGGGAATAGACTCGTAATAGTTTGATAGTAATTAATTGACAGCTACGTGCAGCATACAATCTCTCAGTAAGTCAAAGTTTAATTACAACATTAAAGACAATTTTTTTTAATTAACAAATGTAAGCAATGTAATTAACTAAATTGGGTACCATTTGCCGTTTAAACATAGAAGTTTCTTCAAGGATTATAAATTAATTATGCGTATGGTTGGAAACTTGGAATGCAACTTTTTTAATTAATGCTTTGTCACTTTCATCATTATTAATTTTATCCTAATCATTTAATTTTTCATTAATTATTATTTAAAGCTGCATAGGACGAATATTTATGCTTAATTTTGATTAATTATTTCATAATTTATTCGACTCATTAATGTGGTAGCTTATTATCGGCCGGAGGTCTATCCATTTTTCAAAAAAATTGGGGATTGTTATTTAAAAATCCAGCTATATGCTGTTGTGTGCAACCATTAAGCTTGTGGCATTTGTTCTTGCAATCGAATTAGAAGCATTGCTAGCTTATAAATTATAGCATGTAACTAATTAATAGTGAAGAATGATGGTTCTATTTATAATTTTTTGAGAATTACATGACCAGTAAATAGGGAGAATATCAAGTGCATGTTGGGAGTGTTTTGAATAGACAGCCGATATCGACTCTGTTGATCATGGACTGTTTATCGAGCTTTTGAGTATCTTAATGATATTAAAGTTCAGCGATCTTGGGTTCTTTGGACTACAAGGCACTTGATTCGACTATATGCATGTCACGTTTAGAAATCGTTTAATCATCCAGTTTATGGTTTGAACATTTCAAATAGGCTTTGGGTTTTTGATTTGGACCAATTTGGGCTCGGATTTGGTCGAATAAGGTGTCGTTGAGTTCGTCTTTTTGAGATGTTCAGTTCGACTATAAGTTACTAAAATTGGAGTTCGGATGATCCTGAATTTAATTTGGGAACTTTCCAACTCAATTTTGCCTTGAGATTCGTGTCCAACCAAGATTAACTTATGATGATATATCACATATCAATCATCATTCTCGATCAAGCAAAATAATTATCAAGTATCATATGCGAAGAGCCACTCAATTATGGGGATCTATCATGGGAGTCACATACTATTGAATTTTGCTCAACCATGATGATAGGATTGGCAATATTCATAGGAGCCATAAACATCATGAACAGCTTAATTTCAACAAAACCATCATGCCCATACAACTATAGTTAAGGAGTATGAAAACTGAAAGAGATATATCAATGGTTGAATCAATAATTAAATAAAAACCTTAAAAAATTTACAAGGGCCAAGAGTAGTCTACCGTTTGATATTTCTTCATCAACATATTTTTCAACTTAAAACCTCACTTGTCTTAACAAACATATCAAATTTTTGTTGGGAATTAGGTGGGACTTAATTTAATCATCAAGGGTAAATAAAGCAAAAAAAGTGAATTAGCACAATTTTTTTTTTAAATAAACCATTTATTCAAACAGAAGAAAGATATAGTCCATGGCCCCCAGCCATTGCAACAACATAAAAAAGGACTCAATACATATAGCGCGAGGCAATACACATAGAGTAAAATAACTTGAACTCGGACTTAGGAATGGAAGCCCCCTACACCATCCACGCGACCAGCCATGGACCATCCATAGGTGAGAAGTCCACCAAATCAAAACCACCAAGCAATCCAAGCACAAGTCCAAATCACCTCGGTTGCCAATCAGCCAAATCAGCAAGGGGAAGCTGGGGGCTTCCTCATCATTGTCCAAAAAGCCGACAAAAACCACTGCCGAAGAACAATTAGAAAAGAGGCAGAGCCTATTTCTTTTTATCTTTATTCTTACTTTTATTACCACCATTAGAACGACTAGTGCCAGGAAGCTTAGAAGGCACAACCTCCTCACAATCGTCAAAATCCTCCTCCTCCTCCACATCAAACGAAGAGGAATCATTCAGAATAAGCCAATAATTTTGCACCAAAATAGAATTTTTAACATATTTAGCCACTTGAGACTTCAATTCACTAGAAGACATGACAGTAATTAGGACACTAATAAAGGATGCTGAACTTCCCGAAATACCATTGTATACAGGTGATACCACATTAGTATGGACTAAAGAGTGGGTAGGGGAAGACACCAAACCCAAGACAACAGGCACCCTGGAATTTACCTCCCCAGACAAATCTATCGGGGCAAGCACAACATCCACACAAGAAAAGGAAGTCTTTAAATTAGTATCACAATGCATAACTGTAACTAGGGGAGCAGAATGAGAAGGGTCCAAAGGAGAAGCCAAAAATCTCAAAGATGCCTCACTCCCCACCACTAGGTTACCAATCTTGATAGGGACAGACAAGGAAGGAACCAAATTACCAGCAACCGGGCCCTCAGAGGCCAAAACCATAGGACAAGCGTCACACTCGTCATCCAAAGTTTCCACAGATTCCACATTCATTACGATATCAGCTAAGTCAGTATTCACCTGGGCATTAACTCCAACTTCCGGCACAGTCAAAATAGAACCCGCTTTAATCAAATTCACCCCAGGCAACACATATAGAGCAGAAACAGAGCCAGGAAGTGGTTTAGAAACAATATTCAAATGAGGATGTAAAATTCAACAATCCTCTTTCAAATGGCCCAAAGAATTACAATGCATACATAAGTGGGGGATATCATAAAAAATCACAGATTGAATATAGCCAGTATTAAGCGAACCCACCCAAATTTTATCAGGAATTTTTTTGGTGACATCCAATTCCACGAGAATGCGAGTAACCGAAGGTCGGGAACCTGAAGCAGTGGTTGTGTTTGATTTCAGTGTTCAGCCAAATAGAGAACCCAACCAAAAGAGGAACCGAGGTGGGAAGAGATGGGGCCTAAGATAAGGAAATGAAACCCAGATGGGAACAATCGGGGAATCAAACTCAACATCCAAATTTGGGGACCATTTCACCACTATCATATAATAGTTGTTCACAAAATAAGATCGATGAGAGAAGATTTGACAGTAATCAAAATCATTAATAAGCTTAATCAAAACATTTCTAGGGTTAAGAACAGTGACCGAACAATCACCTATGAGTTTTAAGTTGAAGAAAAACTTTCGAATGACATCAATGGATGGACGCTTTCCGGGAAACTGTCCAACCAAAGTAAATTCCAATGGCGCAGCAAGCGAGGAAATTTCCTCCTCTAAAATCAGCAACACCGACAAACCCCGGTGAGAAGAAGTACACAAATCAGGAAAGGAACCAAAGACGAAGAAGCCCCATAAAAGACCTCTTTAAACGAAAGAGCCGGAGAGTTCCATTCAAAAATCCCGGGTCACAAAGCCGGACAGATGCCATTAAGGCCGAAAAATGAAAACAAAAACACACAAAAAAATCGGGAGACTAGAGAAGTGAAGCTTCCCTGAGGCAAAAACGGCGGCTGAGACCATCCTCGCAGCGAACGCCAAAGCAGGGGAAAAATCCTAGCAGAGCGAACATTCTTTTACCACCTTATAAGATCTTAGAGCTGTTTTAGCACAAAAAATACATCAAGAATTTTATATGATAACATTCTATTCCATACACTAAATATTTTATTAAAAATTTTATTGGAGAGTTTTTAATTAAATCAAATTAAGGTAAAATTTACTTCACTAAATTTAAAATAAAGTAAGCTTAATTTAATTTGGGCAACATAGTTTATTATTTTTTGGAAATAACATTTACTTATTTCATAATAATATTTTAAAACCCTGCTAAATTAATTAAAAACGGATCAAACAGGGTTAATTTCGAGTTTCCGGATCAACCCGAACCTAACTCGGTTTTACAAACTGGTTGAAATTCCTAACCCAAACCTGGTCGTCCGGGTTCTGGTTGACCTGAACCCTAAATATTCGGGTTATGTTCGGGTCGAATTTTCGGGTCGTGTCAAATGTTGACATCCTTACTTTTTATGTACTTCATTTGAATAAACTTTAAGTTCAACATAAAAAAAAAAAAATAAAGTTCATTATTACGCTGGATCTTCTCACTTAAATAAGTACATTTAATTGTTTTTACATGTCTGTCCACTTCCTTTCGATCTCAGAATCAATTCCTTGAAGCATATTGAGACGATTGCAATTTTCTGAATTGTTTGGACTTTTTGGAACGGGAGACTTCAGCCATATGAAGAAACTCCAATTAATGCTGGGCATTGATCTTTTGTCTCTTCTCTGACTAATCAAGCAACCATATTTTTTCACTTGTTTTTTTATTCAATAATATTATATATTTAATAATGTTATGAAGATAATAATAATATTCAGATAATATTGGTGTTGATATAATCTATTATATTTGATTCAATTTTGTCTTATATAGCTGAGTAATTTTATCTTTAAAAATCAAATGATTTTTATTTTTTAATTATTAATCTAAAAATTGTTGCTCAAAATTTTTACACTAATAATCAATTTATATCCACTAAAAATCATTTATTGATTTTTAAGTGGATGGAAATATATGATTTATTGATAATTTAGGAGCTCTACTATTTGATACTGCTACGACTCCGTTCATCATAGGCTAATGTTGACAATGCTGATTAATGACCAACATTCAAGGTAAATCTTTTTGGCTACTTCTTCTTACCTCTTATAAAAAGAACTCAATCAAATACCGCACCATCACCATGCTTCTGATATTTCCTATCGATCATGTACCGATCGATGCACGCCAATTAAATGAACTATATCAGAAGAAAACTAAAGTTTGTGTCTTTCTAGACCTAAATTATGTATTCATAAGCATAATTACACACTTCTTGATGTCCCTTGGGGGTCAAACATCCTCTATATTTTATATGCAAATAGTCGAAACAAATACCTTGATA